ATAGCATTTATCTTGCTTTGTAGTGTTAAGTGGCACTTTCCAAATGGAGACATGATCTTGGGAGAGACAGTCTGCAAGAGCTGTAATGTAGTCCCACCCCTCTTTCAGATGAATGGTGGCATCCTTTCTCTATTGACTGTTGTTGACATTTGTTTATCCTGCAGCCATTTGGGCTGTTCCAAGCATTTTTTTTTCTTCCTCTTGGGCAAACTTTATCATTTAATATCAATCCTGGCAGAGTTTGTTGGAGTCCTTTCTTTGCCAGCGGCTCTGTTCCCCTCAACATTAGTTTTCCACCCTGCTTTAACTGGCCTTTATTACTTGTTGAATCAAAGGTTTATAAGTGGCACAAAAGCATTTCATATCCTTCCAAATGTGTTTTTTCCAAAAGACAACTGGACTTTCTTGGTTTTTTTCTTCTTTGAAACATTTTCAAATCAAAAACCAAGAAAGCTCCGTTGCCTTTTGGAAAAAGCAGCTTTGGGACAACCATGACCTGGATGATTGAGAATCTCCATGGACATCTCATATATCCTTGCTTTTCTCACTTTTGTCTTTCTGCTTTAATGGGCATTCTTCTATAAAGCCAATTTCCCCATGAGGAAAGGCGCTATTCAATAAAAAATAAATCTGAATGGAAAATATACAAAGCTTTCTCCCTTTCCCTACTCCACAGCTGGCTCTCTTTGATAGGAACACATGGGGAGAAGAAGGACCATTTTTCCAAGCTGAACTGAAATGAGGGACTGGGAAATTCATCCTCTTGAAAGGAAATGTGCCAGATAAGAAAAAGAGAAATATTTAGCATTGAACTTGTTTGAAGCTTTCCCCCAAAGGAGAATAGGTTAACTCAATGTCAATTCTTAATTTTAACATGTCATACAAGCTTGCATCATTTATCATACCTACAAAATAATGTGTAGACAGACATGTCCTCTTTCAAGGATGACATTGAGGAGAGATACTCTCCTTAGATCTGTCTTTAAAGGACGGTGCCTTTAACTCATCTTTTTTCCTGAACATTTTTCAACAGTTTTCATTTGTTCCATTTTTTAAACAGACGAATGGGTGGAGAACAAATGCACATTTAATTGAGGAAAAATCCACACGGCACTTACAAAGAATGACTCTTACTCAAAACAGCAGAAGGAAAGTTGCCTGAGAATGTCTGTCTGTAATTAGCAACTTTATGTCTGTTCTCTTTACAGGGATCAGAAATGTAAACTGGCTTCATCCTGGCAGGAACAAGTCCTATAACATTCTATGTATATAAAAAGACGCTTGCTCCTGGGGAGGAAAGCTATGGCAAATCTAGACAGCATACTAAAAAGCAGAGACATCACTCTGCCAACAAAAGTGCGTATAGTCCAGGCCATGGTTTTCCTAGTTGCAATGTATGGCTGTGAAAGTTGGGCCATAAGAAAGGCTGAGCGCCAAAGAATTGAGGCCTTTGAACTATGGTGCTGGAGAAGACTCCTGCGAGTCCCTTGGACTGCAAGGCGTTCAAACCGGTCAGTCCTAGAAGAGATCAACCCCGACTGCTCTTTAGAAGGCCAGATCCTGAAGTTGAAACTCAAATACTTTGGCCACCTAATGAGAAGGAAGGACTCACTGGAGAAGGGCCTAATGCTGGGAAAGATTGGGGGCAATAGAAGAAGGGGACGACAGAGAATGAGATGGCTGGATGGAGTCACTGAAGCAGTAGGTGTGAACTTAAATGGACTCCAGAAGATGGTAGAGGACAGGAAGACCTGGAGCAACGTTGTCCATGGGATCGCGATGGGTCGGACACGACTTCGCAATTAACAACAACAAAAAGATACTTTATAACAGGGGTCCCCAATCCCTGGTCTGTGGACCAGTACCGGGCCGTGGCATGCCAGCCACCATTCCACACAAACAAGCAAAGCTCCGTGCAAGGAATGCAGGCAGCACACAAAACCACGCACTTTCCAGTCAGTGGAAAAACCTTTCTCCACGGAACCAGTCCCTTGTGCCAAAAGGTTGGGGACCTCTGCTTTATAACATTCATTATTTTATATGTTACATATTTATATGCATACTGCAACTAATGTTAGTTGCTCAACCTAATTAGAGGATGATTATTGGCCTTTTTGTATTAACCTACATTCTTAAGCACTGAATCCTATAATGACAAATGTAATAGCCATCGAGAAAGCTATAAGAATTAATCAGTGATGCTTGAAATTTTGTGTGCCTTATTGCCTTTAAAATCCAACTACAATGGTCCTTGATTTACAACCGTTCATTTAGTGACTGTTTGATATTACCACAGCACTGAAAAAAGTGACTTGTGACTGTTTTTCACACTTATGACTGTTGCAGCACCCCCATGGACATGTGATCAAAATTGGGACACTTGGCAACTGGAATGTATTTATGATGGTTGACAGTGCTTTTTTTTGTAAAAAAAAAAAAAAAGGTGCCGGAACTCACGCACAGCTCCGGCTCCAGTTGAAAGCCATTTATGGGAGAGGGAACCACTTTAGGGAGCTTCTGAGGTGCAGATCATGTGAGCAGCGTCAGCTGACGGATGCCATTGCTGCAGCATTTGAAAGGATGCTTGGTTGGAGCCGGTATGTCTTCTGCCACCTCGTCCTCCTCCGCCTCCAATGACACAGAGGCTTCCTCTGGAGCCAGAATGACCAAGGTGGCGATAGCACTACTGCTTTGGGGGCACGCCTGGTCCCTTTAAGAGATTCGCTCCAGGAGTCAGTCCTGGTCCCTGGTGGCCAACATGGTGGCAGTGGCAGGGGGAGCCCCATGAACCAAAGCAGAGAAGAGGGTCTGCTTTCAGGGCCATGGAAGAGTTTCTGGGTCGACCTTCAATGCCCCCGATTTCCCCAGGCAGCTTCCTTTCACCGAGCCAGAGCTTTACTCGTGCTGGCAGCTTAGAAAGAGCTGGTTCTTCCCTTCAAAAAAAGGTGCCGGAATGCCGTTCCATGCATTCTATGACAAAAAAAGCACTGACGGTTACAATGTCCCAGGATCATGTGATCACCGTTTGCATCCATTTGACATGCAAAGTCAATGGGGAGATCAGATTCACTTAACAACCATATTTCTAACTTAACTACAGTGATTCACTAAACAACTACGGCAAGAAAGGTCATAAAATGGGCAAAACTCACTTAACAACTTTCTTGCTTAACAATGGAAATGTTGGGGTCTAAAAGGCCTGGTTCTTAGAAAAATCAATAATTTGGGAATAGACACCATATCTCTCTCTAGCTTTGTCTTCAGATTGTTTATATATAATTGGATTTAATACTTAGGTAAAGAGATAATATTGGTTCTTGGGATGTGAAGAGGACAATAACACATATAAAGCCTCCAATAAAAAGTAAAATAGGACAAATGGTCTCAGATGGTAGCCAAGGTTAAAATTGTCATAATCTGGCAGAACAAAATCATTTAAATTCATATAAAACTGATCCAAAAGGGAGCCAATCCAGTCCTACAATCAGGATAGAAAAATCTAAATGGCCTTTGTGAAGGAATTGAGCTTTCTGACAAAAAGTGAATCACAGATTAATAATACTCTGTTCATCGCAGTTATAACTGATATGAATATGAATTTTATTACATTAACATGTAAATATGTGCATTCTGGAATTTGCATGACATGTCTCTGAATGTTTATTTTAAGTTGATTCTTTTTTAACAAAATAAAGTGAGGAAAAAATAAACAAGCAGATAGAAAAGGTCTATCAAAATGTTCATAATGTATCAATAATTTTTACTGTTAATCTTGAAGTATTTCTCAGAAAGATCTTTTTTAAAATAAATCTTCCAAATACCATAACAATCATATGAATGAAAAAAATATACTTCAGCTGTTTTATAGTGAATTGTATATTGGGATGCACTGAACTATTCCATTATAAGTATATTACAAGTAGAAATAGTAAAAGCAAAAAAAGAACAATCACTGGGAATTTCCTATGTATTTTAATTCTTTTATTTTGAAAAGGATAAATACACAGCTATTTCAGGAATGTTAATGGAACAATACTGGCAGTGGATTTGATTATGATCAATTTTAAATTAACTAAAAAGAAGTTAAAGTACTATAGGGCAATCTCATGAATATTTACAGTGTTTGTAATTGTTAGAGAGATTATCCACTAATTCAATTGATGAAATTTGATAGTTTGTTCTAAGGATATACAAAAGATCAAATTTATAGCTGTTTTCTCTAACATTTATTGAGGATAACCTCAGACTGAATGGCTCTTACAGATCTCGGTAACAAAGTACAAAGTAAAGTAAAGCAGTTGTAGGCATTAAATAAGACATGAAAAATATCAGTGTGGTTTTTTCTTCTTTAAATGCAAACATTTTCAAATACATTCATTTTTTAATTTTTTTTAAAAAAATCAGTAGCTGAAAACTTCTAAGGCAGGGATAACTGTAAACACTTAACTATGATCTGCCATCAATTTCAGCCATGCAGCCTTATGAACAAATACCTCATGCAGAAAGAAAGAAGAGAGATAGCAAGGCATTTTATAATTCTAATTCATTTCTCTATTTACAAACTGTCTAAGATATTACACAGAAGGCAGAAATGCAGCTCAGTCTGACTTCACACAGTGAGGAATAAACTATACCAGAGCAATGAAGACCTGCCAGTGTAGAGGAACAATAGTTTTTCCTAATCCTACTGAATTTCTCATGAATTTATTTTTTTAAAAAAATGCCTTTGATCCATTACATTCAATGGGTTGAAGTCCTGTGGCTCATACTTATACTTTCATCTGCACTTTTAAATTAATTCCTTTCCTTGTAAACTGCTTTTATTTTTGTCTTTCTACTCTACCTTTTTCTTACTGGGCCTCAAATCTAGCTGGATGTCCAGGAAACACCAAAGGCCCACCAAGCAGCAGTGGCAATCAGATTGAGATACTGCACTTTCATTTTCTTCAGCAAACTTGCTAACTTTCACAAGATACAAGCAACTGCTGAAGCCGATGAAAGTTTTACACTGACTTTAATGGAGGATCAGCTTTAGAGGAAAATAATGCCACTATGCTTTTAAAACTAAGTACTTCCTCTGTGAACACTAGTAAACTACACATCTGTATTAAATTTTCTTAAAATTTTATTAAAAGTCATTTCATATAATAGCAGTGCTTATACGTGTACTGTATATACATATGTGTAAATATATATTATATTGTTCCCAGGAATTTTAGATAACAACACTTTAAATAACATATGCTTCTTCAGATATTTTCATTAAAAAAAAGTGCCGTTTCTCATACCTTCATGCTCAGCAACACATTCTCATACCCAGAGTTTAGTCTGTTCCATCAATAATGGCTGGCTTTTTATTTTAATCTGCATAGATAAGGAACAGCTGGAAAGTGCTCAGAATAGCCACTTTAAATCTATTCATTAAACCAGAGCTAAAATGTGAATATAGCAGTGAAATAGCGCCCTCTACAGGACACAAAGCTGAAGAGTACTTGCTGAAATCAAAGTCACGCTAAATAAAATGAAGCAACAAAATCAAGGACATTATGAGTAGATTTCATCAATTTACATAGGCAATTGTTTCTGAGTATTATTTAGCCATAAAGATATCCAGTTTTGCATTCATGTGCATATACGTTTGTTTTGTTACTTTAAAATAGGGACTGGTTTGGTCAGCAGCCATTTTTGTTAGATGCAGAGAAAAGTTACTTCTACCTTTATAGAAGCTTAAAATGTTGCTTCCTACAAAATATAAAGCAAAAAAAAAAAAAAACTATGTGTCCTTTAGCAGAACTTGAGGTTGGTAAGACAGGTTAATATGCTTGCCTTGGAGTGAATACAGCCAGAAGTTTCTCATATGGGTCAGAAAAATAAGAGGGTTCCAGACTATGAGTGAGCGGTGTCCATCTGCTGCTGGATTAACATTTGTCATGGGAACAGATAATGGTGGCTGTGGTGATGAAGATGATTTATCCTGCATCCTACTCACCAACTTCCCCAACTGGCTTCAGAAAGTCGCCTCATGCGGGTAGGAGTAGCAGATGTCTATTAAAAGAGAATATAGGAAGCTCAGGGTTGAACTGTCATGATGTTACCTAGTCAGGCAATGAAATGTCTGCAAACAAGGAAACTCAGAGAGCACCAAGCACTCCAGAGGTCTATTAGTATAATGTTGGATGTAACTCATCCTCTTCTTGTTTTCAAACAGCACTAGCAGCATTGCTCTATTACAGGGATCTTCAAACTTGGCCCTTTTATGACTTATGGACTTCAAGTCCCAGAATTCCTCAGCCAACATGCCTGGTTGAGAAATTCTAGGAGTTGAAGTCCACAAGTCATAAAAGGGCCAAGTTTGAAGACCCCTACTCTATTACCATAGCAGCAGCTGTGAATTAAGAAACATTTTCTCATATTAAAAAAGGTTAGCATCACTACATTCTTCCTTAGGGGGAAAAAGTGCGATTCAACAAAAAAATACAATTCAAAACCAACTGGACAAAATAAAACAACAACAATCCCATTTGCAGTTTAATTCTGTGCAAAACTAGCACTGGCTGGTTTATGCATGCATCTCAGCTAATTTTGCCCAAGATTAGTTTGTCAATTTTAGCATGAAGCTTCATCAGTTAGAGAGGCAACATGTTTTGAAATCAGTGAAAGCCCAGATTAGTTCATAGCATTTGCCCAATTTTTTTTCCCGGTATTAGCATCCCCAATAGATTGTGTTGTTAGTTTCATTTAACAAACTTGCTGCTTGCCTGTACAGTGTTCAGTTGAAGTACTTTTAAAATAAAGAATATGTTTTCTGAGTGATCCCATATGTGCATATGGAGCTTTGTTCAGCTTGACACTTTGTTCCTCCCACATCCAATACTGTCTGTGGACCCTTTTGATCCTAGGACTCATAAAAAGAGCCTGCAATAAAATAGAGCCTATAAAAATATTCGTTCAAAACGGAAAAGCCTGGTTCTGCTCATAGGCCTCTTTGTGTGTAAAACCAGTTTATGATTAACAGCTCTTGAGGTCTTTTCTTAACTTGGAATTGACAGAACTCTGATAATCATCTCCTTCAAAATATTTAACTGTTGGCTTGCCGCACTCAACGGAACTGTCCAAGTAGTTTAAAGAGCAGGAAGATACACACAGTCACTTTGAAATTATGTAATTATGGTACAGTTGTTTCCAGCAATCTGGATTAGATCAAAGCCCATTCGTATTTGGTTTTGCACAGAATGGGCTGGAAGAAAGAAGCTTCCCACAGAAGGCAGAGGAAAGGAGACAAGAATTGAAAAAGAACTCAAACTTACTGCTCATAGAGCTGGGCGCTGATTAACGCTGACGTGGAATAGCCAGATTCCCTGGAATATTGGTGCGGAAATGACATTCTTGCCAATTTGCATCAGTGATATTGCATTTCATTAACTAAAAAAGAAAAGTTGTGATGCGATGTGACTTTTGCACATGAAGCCAACATATCTTGTTTTCTGTTATCCATTCTTTTGTACCTTGCGCTTCTGGAATTCCCTCCCATAATAATGATGAGAGACTTGTGCTCCTGGAAGCCCGACTGAGAACGCAGGTTTTTTTTTTTTTTTGAAGCTTTTGTGACTTTCAAAAAACCCTTCTGTTTTATTCGCTCTATGCTTCTCTGCTATATCGTCAGAATTGTTTTGTCAGTAGATGATGTAACTCTACAGTTACTTCACACTTTGGAAAGCAGTTTACACTATCTACCCTGCCATGAATAACATTAGCTTGTGTAAAACGTAAATGAATTTCTGTCCATTTGATAAAATCACCTCAGGTTTAACAGTAGAATAAATGTCCAAGGGCTTGCTTGCATTTGGACTTTTTTATAAACAGGGTATTCTGGGAGCTGTAATTCAGGCCGTCAAAGGCATTTTGCAATGCAAACATGGTAACAGTCAGATTCTATCTGAACTGCATGGGTTTTCCCAGCCAATGTCTGAATATCAACAAATAAGTACTTTTAAAAAGAGTAATAGAAGTAAAGACTGTTGTTTAATTTAATTTTTCTTGGTCAAGTTTTGTAGACCACAGAACAAGACCTTCGACTTCGTCCTCCCATTTTTCTTCATTTTTGCTTTTGTCCATCTTCTTAGATCCTATGGAAGACCTTTTTGAAGATCTAGATGCTCCTAGATAGTAGAAGTAATACAAAATGAAAAATATGACTACATGAACTATGGTAATTGCACAATCATAGGAAAACACACAACACATTAAATTGTATATCTTTGAATGCAGGTGTGAGTGTGAGAGAGGCCATTTTGTAGCGTGTGCAAGATTTATCCTGTAGAGAAGTAAGTTTGTATGTTAGCATTTATAGCCAAATGATAAAGCTAACTATTAGAAAACTAATATGTGTTCCCCCACCCTACTTCTAAAAATTTCCAAGACCCCATGATTACACTGAAATCTGATTATGAAGTGGTAAATTTTGATGACATAATACATTGCTTTTTAAATAAAATATCTCACCAAATAAGTACATTGGGAGACAGAATACAGCTATTTGGAATAAATAAAATAAAGCAAAACTATACCCAAATCCCAACATTCTCTCCAAAGAGGGATTAAAACTGTGGCCACATTTTCTGCTCTGGTGATCAGTTCTACATGTTCTGTAACCTTCAGTGCCATGATTAAATAAATTTAAAAAAAAAACAGATTCCCACAGACTGACAAATTACTGTATTTTTGATACATGATTTTATATTCTTAGGGCAATAATAAAAATCATCAGGGAGAGTTCTAATGACTTCACAAAGGTTAATTATTACTGCTTATTAATTATTACTGCCTATTTAGTTTCAGCCATAAAAATCATCAGTAAAAGAAATTACTAATTTATGATTTACATTGATATTCAGTTGCACACATGGCTAAGATAACCTATAACATCTGTACCCACAAACCACCAGTAACATTTGTGGGTGTGGAAGGCTCAAAAAATTCAGAATGGTAATTATGTCATTTGGTTGCTGCTCTCATGTTGATATGTTGACCCATCCCACCACACCCACAGAAGTTCCTGGAAATGACATTTGGCCTAACAAATTGCAAATGGCTATTAACCCCTCACTCCTATCCTTCCGCAAAAGCCTTGGTTGGCCTCAGGTCCAAATGGAGGAGTTCCACACTGGAGGTGCTGCTAGATTGCTGGCAGACTCCCCCTCCCACCTCTTGCTCTCTGTTTTCCACCTATTCGTCTTTTTGGTTATAATATTGATGTATCTAATCTCATTGTGTTCCTTTATCATTGTTTATTTTATTGTTCTATTATTTTACTTCTGTTTACATGCCTATAATTTTTTTTCCTTCTTATAATTATAAACCGTCTAGAGTAGCACTACAGTGAGATAGGTGGCAAATAAATTTAACAAATAAATAAATAAACTAAGTAAACATGGACCAAAGGGCTTCCCATTTCTTTTCCTGCTCAGCTCAAAATGGGTAATAGTTTCACAGCATGATTTCTGAAAGTTATTTCCCCCTGAATCTGTCTTTTTAAACTCTTTCCTGGAGTTCCACTATTCCAGAAATTCTGCTACATGAGTTCAGAGCTAGGGCATTTCCAGGGGCTGGGATCCTGTACAAAAAGGTCAAATAATAAATGATGACTTTCTTTCCCAAATGAATTTACCTTCCACAGATAAGATATCATCATTTTATCTTCATTATAGTGCTGCTTTAACATCTATCATTGCAAAGCTATGTTTTTCAATGATCATAGTATTGTTTTAGCTGATGCTATTGGTTAACCTAAGCTCACTGGATAAAAATGCATTATTAAATTACATCTATATACAATTTTATAGAGGTAAGATAACCTTTATTGTCATTTTTTTACTGTGGGCACAACGGCACACATCAAAAATGAAATTTAGTTGCCCACTCTCAAAGTGAAACACATACATGACACACACCTAAGCATACTATGAACAATATATGTATAGACCCACAACCCTACATATATATAGCAAACAAATATTAAATATATAGGTATTATATATGGTATAAAATAGAGTAAAAAGCATGATACTTTTGTTCTTCCTGATTTATTATAGTTAGAAGGATCAAAGTAAAACCATGAACTACATGGTTAACATATTGGCTTAAGATCCCATCAGTGTTTACATATTATTAAAAATGTAATATTAAAATAAATATGTTGAGGTGATTTGGTCATGTAGAGAGTGAATTAGGATCAAATCATGAAATAAATTTATGGAGGAAGAGTGAATTATTTAGGAGGAAGGACAAGATTAAGAATTTGTGTTTAGATAAAGCTGATGAGAACCTCAAAAACAGACAGAGCTAAAGAGAAGGCAATATATGATGTGGTGCACAGCGATTGGCGATACAAGGATGATTTGCAAGGAGAAAAAGACGTGGAGAGGAACACTGAATGAGTTTGGTTTAAAATAGATTTAGTTACATTCCTTTTTCTTATGTCTTGCCTCTAATTTTTTGGGCTAATTATAGTATATCTTACCCTTTTTCTATGCTCTTCGTAATTGTTGCTTATTCCCAAAGGGAACAGTGTAATAGATTGTTTGAATAATTAAAAATTATAACTTGGTAGTTGGGATGAAATGAATTACCAACAGAAGATATCATCCAAACTGTATTTTTATCTCTTTTCATTTTTATAATCACAAATTATTTTTCAATACATGGAGACAAACAAACACACAAAATGGTAGGATGGTGCGTGGGCTTCCTGCTTCCCTCTCCCAAATGAGTTTTTTTCCAAGAGTCTCATGAGTTTAAATATACTTACTTGTTTAACAGAGTAAAAAGGTCTATATTCAGTTATAATATACTACTGTTGGTATGTATAGAAAAATTGCAAGCTTGTCCTAAAATTAGTTCTCCTGTCTTACCTGGAGGTGGGCTTGGGATAATGCATTGACCTGTCCAGTTTTCTAACATCAGCTGTTTCTTCTGCTTTTCAATGCAATCAGAGACAAAAACGTTATGTCTGAAATTAAAAAACAAGAAAATTAATATAACTTCAGAATATAGCAGAAATATAAGCTTATTTACTACATGTTCGGGAATAAAACCAACTTTATGAATAGCTTTCACACAGGAAAAAATATTTCAGGATGCAGAAATAAAGAAGCTGGAGACTTGTTTTGCAACTTATTTTACACACCATTTAGGAAAATTTAATTTTAAAAATTTAAGAGGAAAAAAATACCCATCATAATAACCCGCGTTCTTAAGGACTTTCATTGTGGATCTACAGTATACAAGTGTGCCTTAGAACCTTGCAACAATACAGTGGTAGGAAAGGATTGTGAGAATAATTTTATTCCATTTTCAGCCAGTTACAGTTTATGATTCTATGCTTATTGTTAGTCTTTATAAATTCTCAAATAACACATTAAAACCTTTAAAATGCTTTTTGTATGAAATCATGCTAGAAAGAATCATGTGTCTCTAACAATTTTATTGAAATTATAAAACAAGTGATGACATTTTTATAATTTGGGACACTGTTTATAGAAAACAAAATTGATTTGAGTTATTATAATTCCTGATTTGTTGCCAGAATTTGCTTCTGGCAAAAAATAGTTAAGAAGAAGCCCTAGGAAGGAGTCCAGCTATTTTACACATCCCTTGAGTGGCTTAATAGTTAAGGTGCTGGATTAGGATTCAGAAAACCTGGTTCAAAATTACCCTCAAGATACAGCATATTTGGGCCAGTTGCTATCATCGTGCAATTGTGTTGAGGGAATCAAACACAACATGTATTACTTTCAGCAAAGAAAAAGTTCCCATAGGAATAATCACAATTTAATTAGGGTATAAGGATTATGGCAAGGAATTCCTGAGCCAACATGGAATTCTGGGAGTTGAAGTCCACAGGTTGTAAAGTTGCCATAGCTGTCCACCACTGGATTATGGGGATGGGAAAGAAAAGGGAAAGGAAAGGAAAGATTGCATCATATCTACACTGAACACTCCATTAATAACACACACTCCCTGCCGCCTGTTCTCTTTTACTTTTCACACAAACAGAAACTCTCATTTCAGTTCAGTTATCTTTCTTCATAGGTACCTTCTTCAGTGTAATTTGTAGATAATTTCAAAATATTTTATTTTCTAATAGCGAAATATAAATAATGACAGTATCAATAGAAAAAAATGATATTATGAAGTAAAAACCTAAATATATTACAGGGATTAAAATAAATATGACAAAAGCCTCAGAGAAAAGGAATTCACAGAAAAAAGAGACAAAATAACCATCTTGTAATTACAGATAGCAATATAAAATTTAATAGCAATAACACTTAGACTATTTAATAGCAATAGTAATGGCACTTAGACTTATATACCGCTCCCTAGTGCTTTACAGCATTCTATGAGCAGTTTACAATGTCAGCATATTGCCCCCAACAATCTCTCCTCATTTTACCCATCTCAGAAGGATAGAAGACTGAGTGAACCTCAAGCTCAGTTAAGATCAAACTCCAGACTGTGGGCAGAGTTAGCCTGCAATACTGCATTCCAACCACTGCACCACCAGATAAGATAATAATCTTATCATTGAGACCATATAAAAACATATTGCTTCAACTTCTTGCTTTTGAGGTACTGGGATTTTCAAAAACAGTTAACAAATTTGTGCCGTTGATCCATTTCTTAAAATGAGAAGTTCCTTCTGTAAAATTATCCCCTTTGCTCAGCTTGATGGAATTCCTGAGCCAGCCATGGTCGTAAAATTACCATAATTGCCTACCCCTGTTCTAACATGATTAGAACTTAGCTACATTTTCCTTGGAGTTGAATTAGCACTTTGTTGTTTTAGATAGGGGAATATCATCTCACCTTGCTGGATAGGTTGTCTTCCAACTTAAGAAGACAAAATAATGATGGTTTGATATATTGTGGTCTCACTCTCCCAGAGCACTACCTGCTTTGGAATTTTGATAAAACCCTGCTGAATTAAAGCAGGGGATTTAGGATGTAGATATCCAAAATGTCACACTCCAAATGTCTCCTCCTCCATGGACTATCCCCAAATATTTCTTTAACATCTTATATGCTCCACATAGAATACTATTTACCTGGGACCCATCTGGGGTGCTACTTATTAGGACTATAACTTACAGAGACATAAACTTCCCATATGAAAGCTAAATTTGTTTCTGTTCAGACTCAAAAGCAGAATCTATTTCATTATTAAAATGTTCATGCTACACTCAATGGCAATCAAGTTTAATATTTCCAAATGTTATTAACTCTAAATGCCATCATGACCAGGAGGCCATTATTGTTCTCCTGGGTGACCACCCTTCATAAACTTCAAAGAAGATTGCAAAATTCTTAACAATAGCTGTAGCTGTTAGAAACAATCTGGTTTCTTCCTCGTGATAATAATAATAATAACAACAACAACAACAACAATAATAATAATAAAGTTGGAAGGGACCTTGGAGGTCATCGAGTCCAACCCCTGCTCAGACAGGAACCATACACCATTTCGAACAAATGGATTTTCTCACAATTAAAAAAAAAGATGGCTTCACAAAACAGTCCAACAAGTGTTGAAGTTGGTGAAGCATCTCATTATGAAGCATGTAACTAAGACAGAATAACTTGAGAGACTCGTCACAAGAAGTATCATAGCACAAGAAGTGCAATAGGAAGTCAGTGTCTGAGTTTGCCTTATTGCATTTATAGAAGCAGCATGTGTGCATGGCAAAACCATCCCTTCTCCCCCCCCACACTGCTGCCATCACCGTTTGCGCCAGTCAGCTGAGCTGGAAATATTGGGGACAGCTGATATAAGGTGTTGACGCTACTTTATTATTTTCAAGATATTTAAGTATTTTTAGAAGAGTTACTGTCAATGGACTATACTTCTACCTTGAAACTGGGAACAGTTTTATTGATTCTAAACAAGTTATAAAATTTTATAGGATTATGCATATGGTCTCTTTATTAGGGACCTTAACTTCCATTCAGTATAGTTGCAATAGAAATGAAGAACGTACATTTCATAAGAAGGACAGTTTGTTTACAAGCTTTGGCTGAGTTACAGCTTTTTATTGTAAAGGTTCAGATAAGCACTGCTCTTGGAAGTGTACAGTGTCTTAACTTAGCCAAATATTTGCTTTCACTGTGTGATGGGTCCATGCATGTAAAAACTACAATCTGTTTAGTTGTGCGTATGTCCTGGGGAATCTTGTTATTTGAGGGAGGAACGAAATAATTTTACAAAGGTCTGTTTTCAACCACAAGATGGCAGTAAAAGGTGGGCCTTTAACTGTCAAAAAATCATAGCCATTTTTTCTCAAGCTTCAATGAAATTAGTACCAAAAGTTGCATTATTTCAAAGAAAAGGCAGTTTTCTCAAAGACATCTAGCCTATTCTTGTTCTTTGCTAAAAAAAAATTAAAAATGGAAAAAAAAAATCAGAAAAGAGACTGCTAGTTCTTGAAATGCTTTCTTGGCACACATATATTGTGTGGCACGACATAATGAAGCAATTATCAAATACATGAAACAAAGAACTTCTGTTAAGAGAAATAAAATGAGGAAGTTGTATCCAAGGAAAATTAACTCTTTCAAATAAGAGAATCTTGTTCAAGAGAAAAAAACGAACCAATTTTGCCCATTTGTTTTTATCTGATTGGAAGCCCAGATGAGATTTTCCAAGGTGTCTGCCAGTTTGTGGCAACATTGCTGGGCGAAATAGCCACTCGTGTATGAAATAACTGGTTGCAAACTTTTTAGTATATTCTAAAATAAATTGGCTATAGTGTAGGGATAATTTACTATAATTATTCAGTTTCAGTGATCAGTAACGCTATGATTCCAGGCACGCAGAGAATATGACATCTGCTGTATATGCCTGCTTCTTAGGCTGTCTCCTTCTCCTTCTCCAACTATGGGCCTCCTTTGTACCTTCCCCAATCCCAGGGATCACATTATATTTGTTTTCTGGGAGACACTGAGGACACCTTCTCCCCATAAATATACATAAGTCCCCAGTGTAGAAATCTTGGGTAAGTGTGTGTGTAAAGAGGAAGTTTTATGAAGGGAAAGAAAGTTGCAACACAGAATATGTACCCTTATGTTCAGACAGGTTGCTAATAGGTGTAGGGTGCCGGGATTGTACAAGGCCTGGTTTAAAAGATCTGCAGTGATTTCCAACTGCACTTTAAGATGTTAATATCAAAGTTCAATCCCCATTTCTGAATCCTAATCGGGAGTCTGGATTGGCTCTTATATTCAGGTTCATAATACCTCTGCATATTTTATGTTTCACTAATGGATGCTCTGAATAAAATTATTCTTATTCTTAATAATATTTTGTGGAGTTTCTATATGTAACTCCAGTAAATGCCTCTACCTACAGTAACTATAAAATCATAATTTTCACAAAAAAGGCAGGTTCCGTGAAAGAATAATAATCTGCATACCTTTTACTTAACACTGTTATTTATTTATTTATTTATTTATTTATTTATTTATTTATTTATTTATTTATTTATTTAAGGGATTTATATGGCTCTCAGTAACTCTGGGCAGCAGGCAAACAATAACTAACCCAATATATAAAAAAAATAAAAACAATAATCCCTCACAGGCAATCAGCAGACAATCAAACAGGCGATCAAATGAGCCACTTGATAATAAATAAATAAATAAATAAATAGTTATGTAGTAGTTTAAGAATCAGCAGAATATGATATTGCAGCTAATGTTGAAAGGCATTCGTTTAGATTTTTTTTCCTGATGATTTTTCACTTTGAAAATAAATCTATAACTAAATATCAAGAACTTAAAATGGATAAAATATTCATTAAACATCTTTCCTGCCATAGCTGTATACATGTGATTTTTCATCAGATACTTACAAATTTTCATCCCAGTAGCCTCTGTTCACATTCTCTGCCATCCAGTTGTAACGGTTTCCTATATACTCCGGATCTTCAAACACTGGAAGGACAATTTCAAGTAAATTTCAAATTGGAGTGGTCACCTTCCATAAAAAATGCTAACTTTCTAAACAACAAGCATCTGAATTCCTTAGATCTTCCTGTATGGCATCCAACCTGAAGGAATCTTATAAATTCACTTCAGTAAGATATAGGAAGGACATAGATATAACATAACACAAACAATCTTACTGCATACGAGATTCAAAAATCTGCTGGCTGACACTGCCAGCAAAAATAAGGCAGTTGGCCCATGAGGAAAAGAACAACTGATAACATGATCTTTCCCTGCAAATAAAGCATCCACCAATTCTTTATTACGTAATAGACAGCGAAGAACAAGCATTGTTGCAAGTTACAAATTGGAACATATTGAATGTACAGGAAACAAAATATCAGAATAATGCATTAAAGACATGAACAGAATGCTGGCAGAAAGTCAGGCACTGAGGAGGGATGCAATGGGGAACTAGCCTTGAATCCTTATGCAATGGCAAGGTGCACTGACCCCACCCAAGTCCCATGGAACCTTATCTGTCTATTCTCAAGGAGATTTCTGGGGAGATTTCCGTTTTACAGATAGAATACAATAAGAAAGCCAGATTTCTTTCATATGTGGATCTGGTTGCTTGTACCTAATAGTCAATACATTACAATACAATATATATATATATATATATATATATATATATATATATATATATATATATATATATATATATATAGTTTTCTGAGGTTTTCGCGGGTGTTTGTATGTAGGTCTTTGGTTGTTCGGGTTTTCTCCCGCGTAAAATTGGAAGTGTCTTGGCGACGTTTCGACGAAGTCCCATTCGTCATCTTCAGGCTGGTGTTTTTAGCTTCTTGCTTTGAGCAGCAATGTGTGGTTTTAGCTTTGTATATAGGCTTTGGTTGTTCGGGGTTTTCTTCCCGCGTAAAATTGGAGTGTCTTGGCAACGTTTCGACGAAGTCACATTCTGTCATCTTCAGGCTGGTGTTTTAGCTTTTGCTTGAGCAGCAATGTGTGGTTTTAGCTAAAACCACACATTGCTGCTCAAAGCAAGAAGCTAAAAACACCAGCCTGAAGATGACGAATGTGACTTCGTCGAAACGTTGCCAAGACACTTCCAATTTTACGCGGGAGAAAAACCCGAACACCAAAGACCTATATATATATATATATATATATATATATATATATATATATATATATGTGTGTGTGTGTGTGTGTGTGTCTTTGGTTGTTCGGGTTTTCTCCCGCGTAAAATTGGCGGTGTCTTGGCGACGTTTCGACGAAGACATCCAGGAAGGGAAGTTGGTTGTTAGCTTCTGTTCCCATGGTGAACTGTATTTTGGGGTGTAGGCTGTTGACTAAGACATCCAGGAAGGGAAGTTGGTTGTTAGCTTCTGTTTCCATGGTGAACTGTATTTTGGGGTGTAGGCTGTTGAAGTGTGTGAGGAAGTTGTCCAGTTTTTCTTTCCCGTGTGGCCAGATTATGAAGGTGTCGTCTACGTATCTGAGCCAGAGTTTGGGTTTGTGATCCGATTTTTCTAGAGCTTGGGTTTCAAAGTGTTCCATGTAGAGGTTGGCAATGACAGGTGAGAGGGGTGATCCCATGGGTCTCCTTCTGTTTGTTTGTATTTTTGTCCATTATAGATGAAGTATGTGTTGGATAGGCAGTGGTTGGTCAGATCTAAGATGTGTTTGGGGGGGTTATATTTGTTTTGAATAGCTGTCAAGGCTTCTTTGATAGGCACTTGGGTGATGTCTTAGTCTACAAGAAATCCAATGGCTCCCTAGGACACACCATCTACCAGAAGAAAACACACACAAACCGCTATCTGCACGCTCTCTCACACCACCACCCAGCACAGATCAACTCTGTAGCCAAGACACTCATCTCCAGAACAAAACGCTTAGCTGACGAACAACACCTAAAACCCGAACTACACACTCTCACCAATGTACTAACATCCAATGGATTCCATAGAAATAAGATTACAAACCTAATCCAAAAAGAAACCCCCACTAAAATCCAAGACAAAGAACAAGAAAACGGCAAAGCCCTCCTCCCATACATAAAAGGCACCACAGACAGAATCAGTAAGATCCTCCATAAACACAACATCAAAACAGCATTCTGCACAAACAGAAAAATATCCACCATCCTTAGAAACCCCAAAGATAAAATTGAATTAGAAAATCAAGGAGTATACGAAATCCCATGCACCACTTGTCCCACCACATACATCGGACAAACCAACAGAAGAATAAGTGCACGCATTGAAGAACATAAGAACTCAGTCAAAAAAGAGGAACCAACATCTTCCCTGGTCCAACACCTTAAAGCCACAGGACATGAAATTGACTTTAAAAATACCAGAACCATTGCCAAAAGTGAACATTTTAATAACAGAATAATCAGAGAAGCCATCGAGATAGAAAAACGCCCACACAGCATGAACAAGCGAGATGATACCTCCCGCCTACCAGCCATTTGGAAACCCGCCCTTATTGACAAACGACTCCCTAACACAAAAAATGATACCAGACCCACACTCACAAAAACCACACAGGATGTCACCACCACACATCCACGCAAAAAACAAACCCAAAGCCACACCGATGATGAGGCACGACCACAAACCAGAAGCCAGACCACAGCTGCATCATTAGCCACTTTAAACCCCTCCAATCCATACATGAAGCAAACTGACACCCTCCATGAAGAGCAGGCACGACCACGAACGCGAAGCCAAAAAATAGCAAGGCAGCCCAAAATCTTAAACCCCTCTGCAACTCAGACTAACCTGAGCACAACCAAACAGAACACTCCCCCAGCCAATCAGAGCACAGAGCACAGCCAACCCCCCAGCCAATCAGAGCACAGCCAAGCCCCTAACCAATCAGAACACACCTCCACCCAATCAGAACACAGCCAAGCTCCCACCCAATCAGTTCATACCCCCACTGGCAGTTAAAAGGAAGAAACAGCTAAGACCACACATTGCTGCTCGAAGCACGAAGCTGAAAACACCAGCCTGAAGATGACGAATGGGACTTCGTCGAAACGTCGCCAAGACACTTCCAATTTTACGCGGGAGAAAACCCGAACAACCAAAGACCTACATACAAACACCCGCGAAAACCTCAGAAAACAAATATATATATATATATATGTATGTATGTATGTATGTATGTATGTATGTATGTATATGTATGTGTGTATATATATATATATATATATGTTTTCTGAGGTTTTCGCGGGTATTTGTATATAGGTCTTTGGTTGTTCGGGTTTATATAGGAACTACATTATATTTTTAATCACACTTAAAATGTATTTAAATGTGGTTTTTTTGTAGTAAATATAGACATCAAAAGCAGAGCAAACTTTACTAAGAAATTAGAAGACATTCACTGTCTTCACATCTGTCACTTGGCCAATGTTCAATAGGCATTTCATTAACTGAAATTGTTAAAAACCGTATCCTTCTACTATTCATTCATAAAAAAATTCCAAATTGTTTCACAGTCCTATATGTACATAATCAGAATACTGTAGTCTGTCATCATTCAACTGTATGTGTTGCTCATTTTAATTCCCTTTGTATAAGCCTTTGGGAAAGAACCATAGCTGAATGATATAACACATGCTTGGAATAAGGAAGATCTTGAATCTCACTAAGAACACAGTTTTATTTGTGCATTCGAACTACACATATCCAGAGGCCGTGGGGGGGGGGGAACTTAATGATGAGTTAAACTATGACAAATCAGATGCTGCCCGACTTCATGTTATGGCAAGTTATATTAAGCAAATTTCACTAAGAATAGCAGCTCTCTCAATGTATAATGCATATTTGCTCCATATACCCATCATCCATTATACCCATTATATAATAAAGTCTTTAACTCCCTACTGAAAATGTAGTTAATCTAAAACAATGTAATTATAAGGTTTGTGCAAGAGACCACCTGGGACGCACCGAATCTAATGATTCAATGTTCTGAAAATAGCACATTCCATCTTAGTTTGGTTTGGAGTAGACCTTTCTGATTCTAGAATGTGATTCAGAAAAGACAAAATTTAAAGTTGCAAGAAGATTTTCTTTGTTATTCTTATTAAAAGCAAACAAATTCATCTCCTCGGAAGTGTGGGTATGGGCAGGCGCTTTCTCTTGATAGTTTAAGTAGCATTTAGCTATTGTGATTTAGGTCTGTTTGTCTGCCTGTCATTTCCTCTCCTGGGCACCCAATTGTTCAGAATTTCTCTAACAGAGCAGTCTCAAACTTTCTTTCTATGACTTCTAGTATATTTTGTAGGGACCTAGGGTTTGTTGCACAGCAAGTGTAGGACACAGAGTCCTGTGAAGGACGTGGGAAGTACTTCAGGGAGAGGAGCAGCCCAACTTGCTGAATCTTTCAACAAGAGTGAGACTTGGGAGGAGAGAGCTACATAGTTGGTCCTCCAAGGTTCAGTAGCACTGAGCACTGAAAATACTGTCTGCTCTCAAGGTCCAGAGCAGAGCACTGCTTCTGATGTTGTGTCAGGTATTCTTCACCTGGAGATAAGACCTAGCTAGGGAAGGACCCCTCTGCCAACCAAGGAGTGGGAATTGGTGGACAACAGCCTAATCAAGGAATCGCCAGCACCAACAGAGCAAGCCACCTGTATATAAATAGAGAGCAAATTGCCATTCCCTTCTAGCACTGATGATGTTACCTAGCTGGGTAATGAAATGTCTGCAAGAAAACTACCAAACTCAGAGAGCATCAGGGACCCCACTGTGGGATGGTTAAGTAGGTGAGCAAGCAAGATTTCTCTGCTAAGCAAAGGAAGGAAGACGGGATTATGACAGGCAGACTGAAGAGAAAGTGACCTAGAAAATGACAAAAGGAGGAAAATCCACATGCTCCATATGGGAGAAAAAGAAAGGAAAAGCAGGGATGGGCTTTGCTTCATTTTAGTAATAAAACCAAATTTGGTATTTTGTTTAATGAAAATACTGCTAACTAAGTCACCAAAGTGAAATGCTGTTTTCACAGTACTCCTTCGCAAATAGCTGTGTTCCACAACAAGGTTTTTTAATGTAATAAATGTATGTGTAATGGCACACCAGGAATCTTGTTCATTTTCCTATCTTTTGGACTGACTAAAGCTTTTTATATCTCCATAAGTAAAGGTTTCAGTCTTGCATTCCTCATTCCTAGTTTTGAACTAGTCATTATGACATTCATGATGATTTGAATTTGAGACCTCTGGAATATGCTGCCTTCTTTTTAAAACAACACAATTTTGCATTTGTCCATAAGAAAAAAAATCATAAAGTCCCATTCGTCATCTTCAGGCTGGTGTTTTCAGCTTCTTGCTGGGGGGCAGGGCATCATCATATGAAAGATCTATTTGATTTATTTACATTTTGTGCAAAATCAGACCTGCTCTTTTTAATTAAAAAAAAACCCAAAACATCAGCTTACCTGGTTGTTTAAAATCTTCAGCAGGTCTTGATGTGGCAATTTTAAACCATGTTATATAATATTCTTCATATGAGATCGCTGTTGCCTTTCTGAAAATATACATTTGGAAGAAAGGATTATCTGTAACTAGTGTATGGAAATAGTTATGGGGCAGACATTTTTCTGCAGAACATTTCACTAAGGAGAAAGAATAGTGGTTTAAAAGGTGAAACTGCTTCCAATTTCATACAAATAGAAGAAAAACGAATAGATTACAATTATTATAAAAAGTTCATACTTTCCTGTTAAAATGCTAGGTTTATGAAATATATATAAAAAACTCTAATATTCTGTTGAAGCACCTTTTGATTTTATGATAGCATTCAGTCTTTTGGGAAGGAGTCTATCCGCATGGCTTGGGAATCTTTGCCCTCCTAAAATTAAAATATATTCTATTGCTCCTCGGGGTGCTAAAATCTATAGGCATTATTTAGTTCATGCTGGATGTAATTTGTAAAAGAGTTCTGCCTGAGAGTTGTAGGATTAGGTATGTCATACTAAATGAGCCAGCTATTTGATAAAGAAGTCAAAGAGAACTGTGTTTATGCTTGTAATTGTCCCCCCTTCTCTTTTGCGTGCTTATTTCTGATTTCAACACACATCAATGAGACTGTGAAGAAGAAAATGTCAGGCATGCTATTGTATGAAATGACAAGATTCTGGAGCATAATCATCACATTATTCCTGCTTTATTTGAAGTCCTTGCATTGATTTATCTATCTTTGGCTGTTGCTGTCCTGTTCAATGTCAACAGCAGCTCATTAAGGACTTTATAACTTTGCCTTTCTTTGAAACTGTGAGAAATTGTTCTGCTATGAACCTTTCTTTGGCCAATGACAGCAACACTGATTGACACATTTTTACTTTCCTAATGCCACCAGCATTAAAGATGTTTGCTCTCCCAGCCTCCACACCACTCTATCATATACAGGTGGCCCTCTTGATCAATCACTCGCTTGCTGACCATTCAAAGTTATGATGGTGCTGAATAGAATAGAGTAGAACAGGGCTTTTCAACCAGTGGAACGGGTACCACCTGTGGTACATTGGCACCTGGCAGGTGGTACGTGACCATCCTAGAAAAGTGATAGTGGGGGAGGGGCTGAACCGGTGGCAGCACCTCACAAGCCTGAGTGAGAGATGGCTGGAGCTGCAGGCTGTCAGGGCTCAGCGGAAGCGCCAGGATCAACGCCAGGCTCCAGCTGGAGCTCGGTGCTGATCCTGGTGCTTCTGCTGAGCCCTGAAGAAGCACCAATCAGCTGGAAAACAGCACTAATCCTGGCACTTCTGCTGAGCCCAGAAGAAGCGCCAATCAGCTGGAATGTTGCAGCATCTCCAGGGTCTTGTGATTTACATTCAGATGCTTGGCAACTGATTCGTATTTATGATGGTCACAGTGTCCCAAGGTCATGTGAAGTGACCAAAACTTGCTGCAACCACCCAGCAGACGGGGGGGGGGAACCAAACACCCCTATGCCACCCCCGCTGCCAATCCTCAACAGAAATGCTCACAACAATGAAAACTTTGGACAGGAGGAAGAGCGCCGTCGGACGGGCAGGCAGGTGTCTTGATCGGCTGTGGCTTGGGGGGCATTTTTTTCAGTGCCATTGTAACTTTGAACAGTCACTAAGCAAACTGTTGTAAGTCGAGGACTACCTGTACTTTATCACTTTTTTCCTTTTTTTTTTTGGGTCATCAAGTTTTTGACACCTTGCTAGGCGCCTGGTGGTACTCGGATGTTGCCATATCCTAAAAGTGGTACAATGGGTGAAAAGGTTGAAAAGCCCTGGAGTAGAATAACAGAGTTGGAAGGGACCTTGGAGGTCTTCTAGTCCAACCCCCTGCTCAGGCAGGAAACTATACCATTTCAGACAAATGGTTGTTCAATCTCTTCTTAACAACTTCCAGTGTTGGAGCATTCACAACTTCCGAATGCAAGTTGTTCCACTGTTGAATTGTTCTAACTGTCAGGAAGATGTGCTTTTCTCATGCGACGCAGAAAATGCAGGCGCTGCTGTGCCTGCTGCACCAGTGTCTCACTGTTAAGCAACCAAGCTCTACATTTTGATATTGTGTTGGAGGTTGTAAGCTATTGGCATATAATACAATGTCAGGAATGCCCAATTAGCTAGTTCTTTTGGTTAAACTTTTTTTTGTAGAGTTTTGAAAAATGTTGTGTAACAGTATTTTATAAGAAATCCTGCTGATATACTTGATGAGATATTGATAATTATTGCCAACATTTCCTATGTAGGCAACCATGGCTCTTTTATGACACGTGGACTTCAACTCCCAGAATTCCTGGCTGGTTTAAGAATTCTGGGAGTTGAAGTCCACGAGTCATAAAAGAGCCAAAGTTGCCTACCCCTGGCATATACTATACATCAGTGTGGTATAGAAATGATAACCTTTCTGTTGTTAGATACAAGGTTTGTTATTACACAAGTCTCGAAAATTACAATACATACTTCACTGGATCACTGATATTAACCGTCTATCTCAACAACTGACATAACATATAGCTTTGAAGAAGCATATAATATTGGGGAAAGTTAATTGAATATGATCAGTTTCTTATCTATATTAAAATGTATTTCCTATTATATTACCTTTCACTTTTTCAAATGAAATTGTAGATAATGTTGAACATGGATATCTAAAATGTTGTAGTTCTCCTTAAGATTAAACATGTAACCTATACTTTAGTGTTTGACTCTCTTTTAAAATTAAAAAAAAAAAACTTTAAGGGAGCAAAATGGTTCACCATAGTTAGGTATATTTATGTGTATATAAATATATGATTTATTCAAGTTAAAATGTATTTTTGAAGGCTTCTTTGATTATCAGGAAGGCCAGCTGCTAAGTTACTGTTCGGGATCAGTTATATAAGTCACATCTTGCCAATTCTCAAAACTGGATGCTGGCCCATTTCCATGCCTGAACAGTTTGAAGTCCAACGTCTTCTTTCAGCTCATGCCCAGATTTTGTAGGCCTCATAAAATGTAATGCTTTATGTCTATTTTCCATATGATGCTAGAGAGGCAAGACGAAGGAGAGACCATTTTTTGGGTGATGCCACACCAAGCAGTGTTTCTCCAAGCAGAATTTCCTCTGATATATTTCTGGAGCAATAGAAGATCTTGTATTGAGAACGTTTTTAATTTGTTCTGTTCATACCATGTTTCCCCCAAAATAAGACTGGGTCTTATATTAATTTTTGCTCCAAAGGATGCATTCGGGCTTATTTTACGGTTAGGTCTTATTTTCAGAGAAATACGGCACTAAATGTGTCCATCTGGCTGACAATCTTAAGTGAGGCTTATTTTTAGGGTAGGGCTTATATTACAAGTGTCCTGAAAAATCATGCTAGGGCTTATATTCCGTCTGGGTCTTAGTTTCAGGGAAATACGGTATTTATGGCTTTATATTAACACTGCTAGAAAATTTTACTTCCAGACGAAATGCTGCTTTTCAAAGCACATATAAATTATTCAAATATTCAAATAATAATTTATAGCATTGCAACATTTGTAAGCTTAACGGTGTGTCATTACCTGTGCGAGCTCGGTTCTTTTGATTTTTCATAAAACTTGATTGAAGTTGTATCCCAATCTTTGGCAATAGCTGGACAAGAAAAGAAGTTTTAAAAATGCCTGTTTGTTGTGAACATTTCATAGTCCAATATTGTAAAATAACAAAGACTTTATTGAGCCACACATAATTGCAACTAGAAGATTCCAATGGCATTACTACCAGTAATGAAAATAATACTTTTAAATATGAGGTGAGCGCTGAAATGATACTGTTGTCACAACAGCGATAGGATTAGTAACTATAAGGAGGTACAGTTACAATAATTTAAATTACACAGACTCATTATGTGGAGATAATACTTTATTTGATCTTAGTGGCAGAATAAGTTATTAGCAGTTCTAATGCTCATGAAGCTCTGGATCTAATTCCACAGTTTTGGCAGCTAAGACCTTTTATTTCTGGCTCAGCTGTGGGGTTACCCAAAAGCATATACAGGTAGTTCTTGACTTATGACCGTAATGGGACTTCCCCATTATTGTTGTAATGATCGTTGTAAAGCGGATCACCCACGAAGCAACCGGATTCTATGACCTTTTTTGTGGCAATTGTTAAGCAAACATGATGGTTGTAAAGTGAACATGCCAGTTGTAAAGCAAACGACACTATCATAAAGTGAAACCATTGTTCACTATGGGCTGTTTTTGCCAAAAACTGGAAGTAAATGCTACTCTTCGGCAAAGATGTCATAAACGACAGTTACATGACTGCAGGATTCTGCAAACAGCCATAAATGAAGGCTAGTTGCTGAGCGCTCAACATGCAGTCACAGAAGTGTGGAAGGGAGCAGCCATTGGAACTTTGGAATCGGCTTGTAAGTAGCCATAACTTTGAACAATCGCTAAGTATAAGTTGAGGACTACCTGTATGCATGTGTATATATGTACACATCTCCCTCTCTCTCCTCTGGCTGCCTGCCTTTACTGGACCAGAGTGGTAGATATCAATGAGAAGAATTTCATCTTGCAGCTCAAGTTACATTGCCAAGGATACTAATTAAAATTTATGACAGTAGATATAAAATAGTGTTTTTTTAAAGAACGCAATTCAAATAGTTTCTTCTAAAACTCCCCATCGTGCAGAAAGAATTTATCTACAACTAATAACATAAAGCACAAGCATTTATTACCTTCAAGTTGCTTGCTATTTGTGACACACTGTACAACTTTTTCTCTGTATAGGCGATAATTTTTCCTCAGCATTTGAGCTGCCTCCAGGTTCACGGCATTGTTCAGAACAGGATTAGACAACAAAACCTGTATGAAAATACATGCATACATCAATCTGCAAAGCTTTATTGATTACAAATTCAACCAGCCACAGGTAGTCCTCGACTTGTGATCGCAATAGGGTCCAAAATTTCCACTGATAAGCAAGGCAGTTCTTTCATGAGTTTTGCCTCACTTACAGCCTTTTTTTTTGCCACAGATGTTAAGTCAGGGGTCTTCAAACTTGGCCCTTTTATGACTTGTGGACTTCAACTCCCAGAATTCCTCAGCCATGCACGCTGGCTGAGGAATTCTGAGAGTTGAAGTCCACAAGTCATAAAAGGGCCAAGTTTGAAGCCCCTGTTTTAAGTGAATCTTGCTTCTCCCATTGACTTTGCTTCTGGGAAGCAGTGGGAAGATTTCAGAGTGTGATCACATGACCTGGGAACAGTGCAACTGTCATAAATACATGCCAGTTGCCAAGCATCCAAATTTTGATCATGGGGATGCTGTAACAGCTGTTAAGTGGGATAACTGTTTATAATGCACTTTTTCAGTTGTAACTTACAATGATCACTAAATGAATGGTTTGCAAGTTGAAGAGTACCTGAAATTTAACACTATTTACAATTAAAGGGCTTCGTTGGGGTAGCCATGGTAGTTAGAAGGCATGAATCCTGCTTTTCATAGAGATAGAAAACTTACAGAAGGTTGATACTTTTTTTTCCACTCTACTCTAACCTTGGCTGTGTAGCAGACCCAAATTATGAATATATGGGGAACAAGAAAAAGTCAGCATTTCTTCTTTGGATGCATCCAGTTCAGAATGGAATATTGGACTTGCTATAAATTTGATCAGATATTGATAATTATTGGAGGATATAAAATATAAATATATATATTTATATAAAAAATATAAAAAAGCTCCACACATTCATTTCTGAAGGAAGGATAGAAACATTTATAATAATTTCTTGAGTGCCAGGAGGAGAGGGAACCATCCCTTCTAGTTATGATTCAAAGAGTGATAGCAGCTCAAAGAAAATTCAGATTTTTTTTTTAATGCAATGGTAGTCCTTCATTTTTTTCACCAAAGGAAGTTGGAAACTCCCTTTCCAATGTGGAAACAGAATCTTTCCAATAAGTGCAGTGTCCTGTTTTCCTAAGATATACAAGAGCAGATCCTAGATGGGTAGGAGTTAAAATTATGCAACAATTTAAAGAACATCTTTAACAATAGAAAATAATCCCCTCTAGTGCATTATATTTATTACTCAAGAGAACATTGGTGGGGAAAAAAAAGCTAAAATAGCAGTACCCCTTGCTGGATCGACCCTGACTTCCTTCAGAGCAACAAATATAATCTTCAAGACAGGAAAATATGGCATTAGAGATATCCTGCTATAATTTTATCTATTTGTTAAATTTATATGTCAGCCATCTTGCTATTCAAATCTATAGATGCGGGAATCTCATGCCTTAACAAACATTCCCAAAATGTTTCTATAGCTTTCTCATTGACAGAAGAAAGAGATATTTTTTTGAGGAAGACTCTATCCTTAAGAGAAAGTGCTGTGGTGAAAATAAAAGTATGTAACATGTAATTAAAAAGCTTTCCTTGGACATGTATCTCATGTATCTGAGATGAGCTCAACTCTTTGACTTTATGGACATATCCATGCTTTCTCTTTTTAAAATGATTTTTATTAATTTTAAAACAAGTATATAAAAATAACACAAATTGATAGGTAATAAGCTGGGAAAAAGAAAAAGCAAGCAAGCAATGGCAAAGCAAAAAATTTAAGAAAAGAAAGAAAAAAGGGCAAAGAAGGGGCTTCTAATATTCTTCATTTAATCCAGTGGTTCTCAACCTGTGGGTCGGGACCCCATTTGGGGTCGAAAGACCATTTCATGGGGGTCGCCAAACAACGCAGTCCGCCATTTTTTCCCCCTTTTCCTTAGCTGTGCTACTCCCTTTTATTCTATTGGCCTTTGAAAACCAATAGGAATTGCCCAGGCTGTCTCTGCTCTGCTGAGCCCACCAAAAGTCCCATTCTGCAAACGGTGCTGTACCAGTTGAGTATCCTCGACTTACGACCAGTTGAGTAGTCCTTGACTTACGACCGGTTGGGAGTCGCGGCATTAAAAAGGTTGGCAATCACTGATTTAATCTCTCTCGCTCTAAAGTTACATCATGACTCTCTTTTTTTAAAAAAATTCTTTAATTAGAATTTAAAGAATTGCATACTCTGTGTGGGTCCAAGGAAGAAGAATGGTTTTTTTTTGTCTTCTGTCCTACTGATCTGACAAACTGTTAACTAGAACTGGGTACCTCAAAAGTAACTTATCAAAAGAACTAAAGGAAACTAAGGAAAAAAATAACAATTTTACTGATTAGTGCAAATGCCTTGTGTGAGCTTATGCTGTGTGAAGTTCCTAGTATTACAAAAATAAACCAAGTCTACTTCTCCCATAAACAAAAGAAAATTAAGAAAAAAAATGTTTGTATCATTCTTTCTTACCTGGATAGTAAGTAGAATAGAAGTCATTGTGAAGTTAGTGTTCCATTTGTTAAGATTATCTAGAAAATCCACACAAGGTCTCCCAGATTCTGGATCCACTTGGATAAAAGACAAAAACATTAATGTTTAAACTGGAGCTTTTCTTACTAATATGCTAAATTCTGCACATTACACTCTACTGTAAAGAGTTATGTGAGTTTTAATCTCTACAAGAAAGATTTTACAAAATTTTAACATTTAGCTTAAGTGGCTTTTATTTATTCTAAATATTTTATATGACAAAAATATTGACTCATTATTAATTTGATATAGTGCATTTACACCAAAGCAGATAAAAATCAAAATTATGAAAACAATATACAAACTACTATGATTATATGTAGCTGTTATATTACTCTGGAAGAGTAAGAAGAGCAGCAAGTTGTTTTTGATCAATTATATGTGACGGACACTGTCCTTAATAACACCCTTACCATTGGGGTGGAAAGGAATAGTGGTGAAGGTGATAGTTGGAGGCACGGCATTGTAGTTTGCACAATATTTCAGTGACAGCTGAAGCTCAGCACCTAGTATAATATATAAAAAATATATAGGTATTATATTGTATGCCAAGTAGAGGGAGCCTGTAAATATGAATTCACAAGTGTTCTTTGACTTAATTTTACATCAACCCCAGGTGAATCTCAAAAGTCTCTGGAAACAATCCATTTGGATTTCTAGAAAAGTGACTTTTGGCATATCTTGTAAGGAGGAAATATCATCAAAAAATAGGAGGCGCAAGAGAAAAATCATTTGCCTGACTTCAACTCCCACTTGCTTCACCCATTTACCAAATGGCATGAAACGCAACACTCATTGCGATAGTGTTTGTCAACGCCAACAACTTTAAGATATGTGGACTTCAACTCCCAGAATTCTACCTTAGAGTTGCTGAGATTGAGAAACACTGCATTAGGGAATGGTGGTTCCTGAAATTAAGATTGTCCATCCTTGACTCTGGAAGGATTTATTCAGCCTAAAATAATGTGTATTTGTTGGAATAGACTTTTCTTCAGCAGTAAACGGTATAGATTGAAGTCTTACAAAAATATCTATTGTGATGCAAACAGAGGGTGCATACATTTCAGTACCCCTAATGCCATAAAACAAGGTTGCCTTCTTATGTTCTTATTTTTATTCCTTGCTACTTCCACCTTCCATATTTGATAGTTCAGTATTTCCATCATTTAAGTATTCTATTCTGTAACTTCAACTTCAATGAGTGCTTTCTGCACTCTCTGATTTCATCCATGTTGTTTAGGGAGTGCAATACCACTGTACATTGTAACATTTCTAGGAAAGAGTAGCCACCTTCCCATAAGGTATCCTTCAGCCCTCCAATTTCAGCTATCCATTCCATCCAATTGTCCTCCACAGGCATAACAGAAATGCCCTAAAGAAAGAAAAGATAACAAATGGTTTTGGCTTCAGTGACATAAAGTGAAATAAATCATGACAACTCTGTAGACACTAACAATAATACAAATGTGGTTTGCAAATGCCTTTTTGTCATATAACTTTCTAACTTTTCTGCCTACACTCCAGCCTTGAGGTTTCCTTAAGGCTTGCCACGGGTTCTGCTTGCAATTTTTCTAAACAGTCTTCTGTTTCACAAGGTCTCCCATCCTCCATTTCCTAATCAGACCTATTTCTACCCAGCATTCAAGCCCAGACAAATTTTGTCAGAAGTTTGCACTTCTTGTTGATGGACTTATTCATGGTTAATGGATATCATCTCTCTTCCTCCTTCTGATCCCAGAGAAATGATTGTGCATTGATTTATATAGATTTTGGTATTGTTGCAATCATATGACTGTTAGGAGTATAGCACAGTCTCCAAGCTAATGATATGTAGAATAAAATAACCGAAAAATTAAATTACTTTCAAACAAATTAAACTGAAATAGAATAACATATAAAAATTTCAAAGGCCCTATCTAACTAGCTACAACATCCCCCCCCCCCCCAGGACAGCACTATTTTAATCTATTTCTGGAAAGCCGAGGTGGCGCAGCAGTTAGAGTGCAGTACTGCAGGCCACTTTAGTTGACTGTGTTCAGCAGGTCAGCGGTTCAAATCTCACCGGCTCAAGGTTGACTCAGCCTTCCATCCTTTCGAGGTAGGTAAAATGAGGACCCAGATTGTTGGGGGCAATGTAAATGTAAATATATATATACATTGCTTACTGGTGTACATCGCTTAGAGAGTGCTTGCACTTAAAGCGGTATATAAGTCTCATAAATAAATAAATAAATAAATAAATAAATAAATAAATAAATAAAGCTAATAAAGCTAGGCAGCATTCCAAAAACAACCCCTTTTGGAAGGGCTGTTCAGAATACTGGGCTCATGGAGAAATGTCTCCTTGTGGTCTCAGCTCTCTTAAGGTCAATGGTAGCGGCGGTCCAAAAGCACTTTTCCCAGAATACAGGATGAGTTGATCCTAGCTGAAAAAGATGGTCCTAAAAGTATCTCCAAGTCATATAGGGCTTTTAAAGTCAAGAGCCAAACTTTAAATTTCATCTGGAAACTTACTGGTGACCAACGTATGCTTCTAGTACCAGGGAGATACGCTTAGCATGTCTGGAACAAGTTAACATATAGGCCACTGCATTTCATATCAGCTGCTCCGTTAAAAATTAATTTCAAATGAACAACTGTTCATCCTTACAGACAAACTACAGGAACAGTGATTTGTTTAAACTTTGTTTTTTTAGGAGAAAGTGAAGAAGCTGTCAGAGGGAAGGAAGGAAGGAAGGAAGGAAGGAAGGAAGGAAGGAAGGAAGGAAGGAAGGAAGGAAGGGAAGGGAAGGGAAGGGAAGGGAAGGGAAGGGAAGGGAAGGGAAGGGAAGGAAAGGAAAGGAAAGGAAAGGAAGATTGTATCAGAGAATGGCATCTTAGTCATGTCTGGTTCTGCCCCCACCTACTGCTAGCTTTAGACTTAACCACTGAGTAATTGCCAACTAACTACCTCTAGGGAAAGAGGCTCTTAAAAGGAAAAAAAAATGCTTGTCAGCTTTGAAGACTGATAGAATAGTAGAGAGCAGATCCTGAAGCTCTGTTATATACTCATTATTCTAATACAGTGTTGATGGTCTTGACTCTTATAAGCAAAATAGAAGACAGTAAAATGATGCTGTTCCATAGGGTTTTTGGAGAGGAGAACCCTATTTCTATGAGGACTTGCTATAGATAAGAGTTATTTTATTTGCCCGTTTTCTGTTTGTAAGATTGTAAGTCACCTTGGATGCAAGGAACAGGCAGCAGACTGATGCCCATGCTAGATAATAAGGAATAAATTCTACTCACAAATATATTTGCTTGCTTGAAGTCCACAAACTCTCTTTCCAATAGTAAGAAAGCTCTTGAATGCAACATATTCTCAGGAGCCTCTTATTCTTCTCTTGTAGTTTCACTCAGACGACAATTTTGCATTCAAGTGGAGCCAGCAGAATGAATAGGTAATTGGGAAAAAGTGGCAGAAAAAAAAATACTACAGGATTTTTCCTTTTTCATGTGGAACTGAAATGGATTTGAGCCTAATAGTGAACACCTTGCCAACAGGCCTGAGGCTCATCCCCCCAAAAAATTCTATATACTTCTATTAGGTAATTATATTTGAAGGAGTAGGCAAAAAAATATCTCCATTCATTGCTTTTCACAGCTGAACTGCTACAAGCATAGCCTTTGTAGGAAGCATGGAGAAGCAGAGTATGAAGCAGGCCAGGCTTTGTGTACAGAGAATGTAACCAAGCAACCAGTTTTTATTTCCTCAAGGGAGACAGTTCCCTGTCTTAACTCTCTTCTCCTTTTCAACCAATCAGTATCAGTTTTGCTTTCGCCCTTGTGTTGAACACCAATCGTGACAGCTCTTCCGTTCAAACATTGAAACTGAAACCCAGGAAGTACTCATAGAGATGCCAGTCGAAGCAAAGGTGTATTTACTTTTCTGTCAAGGAGTGCATCTTATCCGAATAACGCTTGGCCATGAGATAATTTTAGGAGAAAAATTCTCACATTGCTTTCCCAGTTAAGTATGCAAGTTTGGTCTGTGGAAATTTACAGAAAGAGCTGCTGACCACTCTGAGAAAATTGGTTAAAGAGAAGCAAGATGTAAACTCGAGATGCTTATGCTACTTATTAAGGGAAGAAATAAGCATTTAATGTTTTAATCACTATATAAGATGTATATATGATTTTTTTCCCCAGATTTGGAGGACTCTGAGCTTTCTGGGCTCTTGGAAAGATTCTGAATAGTAAGCTTGTATTTCCAGCTTATTGTTAGAAGCTCAGCTAAGCATTTCACTCCTCCAGCTTTTATTCTGAAATAGTTGCTACCTCCTGATTTTAAGTGTGGAATCTGCAGCTTCCTGGGATTTATAATAATAATTTTATACATATAAGTTCTCCTCACTTGCCAACAGTAACTGGGACTAGCACCTCTGTCACTAAGCAATACAGTCATAAGGTGCAATGTCAAGTGACCTTGCTGCTTATGAAAATATGGCACTTCCAGTTGCTGTCACTAAGTGAATCAGTAGGTTGTTAAGTGAAGACCTCACATTTTCCATTTGTGACCTCCTGCTGGCTTCCTCATTTATTTTGCTTGTCAGAAGCTGGTAACGAAGGTCACAAATGGCAATCATGCAACCACAGAATGTTGCAGTCTTATAAGTGAACCAATCAACTTGCCCAATTTGCAATCACATAGTCATGGAGACTGTGACTGTGCTTCACACTATCCAATGATATAAAAAGGCTTTATTCCTATTTATATCACCATATCATTGAAGGCGTCTCTTATAGTAAACACATTTGTTGTCTCCTTCCAGTGATGAGCCCTCAGGGCAAAAAGAAACTGCTCTGTATCCAACTGGCCTCTTTCCTTCCATGCTTAGAATATAAATTGTATTATATTCATCTAGCTCAGTGATCTCTGCTGCTTCATGTAGAGGAAGCCAATTCCCTCAGATACATACAATGTTTGGTCTCACCTGTCATTAACACATTGTTACACGACAGAGAGTACATATATTTGAAGAAATGTACTTATTAAAACCAAATCAGAAGAATCACATTTCTTCAGGGAATTTAATAACATAGAGGTGGATGTTGTTTTATTTGTTTGTTCATTTGTTTTTTGATTTCGATGGCCACCCATCTCAACAAGTGTCTCTGGTCAATGCACCTCTTAAGAAATAAAAACAATTAAACATTATTAGAACTATTAAAACAATACAACATAAATATATTTGGCACCAAGTAAAATTGTTAATTATAAAAGTTAATACAGCCAGGAAACAGGGATCTTAAAACACTCGGGCCCATAACCAAGTCTTTATGGCCTTACAAAAGGTCAACAGGGTCAGGGTAATCTGAAGGGAGAATATTCCAGAGGAGTCATGTCTTCTGGTTCCTGCCAGCCAACATTCCTTGGCTGATGGAACTTGCAACATGCCTAATCTGCCTGAGTGAACTGGATGGGTAGAACTAGGAGAAGATGGCCCCTTAGGTAAAGGCCATGAAGGACTTTAAAGATGATAAGCAGTACCTTAAATTGTACCTGGAAACACAATGCAGCTCATGAAATGTTACATGTGTCAAATACCCAACACCCTTTACAACCCATGCAGCCACATTCTGCACCAGTTGAAGCTTCCAAAGGCTCTTCCAGTCCAGTCCCATATAGAGCACATTGCAATAGTCCAGATGAGAGATCACGAGGGCAAGTGACTGTGAGCCAAGTCTCTCAATTGGCACACCACCCTCAGGTGTGCAAGGATTCTCCAGGCCATGGCTGCCACCTGCTCTTCTAGCAGGAGCTGTTCATACAGAGACTCCCAGATTGTGTATCGTGTCCATCTGGAGCAGTGCCATCCCATCCAGCACTAGTGGGTGATTAGGCAGCCCAAATATCCAAGTAAACCATTCTGTCTTACTTGGGTTGAGTTGAACCCATTGCACCCCAACCAGACCTTTACAGCCTCCAGTCACTGAGACAGGACATCCACAGCATTGCTCAGGCAGCCAGAGGTGGCTATATAAAGCTGGTTATCATCAGCATATTGAGGATATCTCACCCCAAACTATTGGATCACCTCATCCAGTGGTTTCGCACTGATGTTAAATAGGAGAGAGAGAATTGAGTCCTAACCCATATTAGCTTTAGCCATGGATGAAACTTACCCCATTCTAGATATTATACTGATTCATATTTACAGGGTAAGCTGCCCAGTCATCTCTGCACAAGAAGGGGGACACTTACATTTAATAAATATTGTCAATAATGCATTTTTCTTACTAGCTTTTATGAAAGTTGATTATATGTTATATATCATATAATATATATTATGATATATATCATATTGTCAAGAAAAATGCAGTTATAAAATTTGGAATTTGCCATTAACATAATTTAGCAATGGATTTTGAAGATCAAGACATGAAGAGTAGAGATAGTCCTTGCCTAATGATAATTGGGAACAGCAACTCCATCACTAAATGATGTGGTATTTAAGCAAGACATCACATGATTGTGATGAGTTCAGTCTCACTTCAGCAGTCTTTAAGTCAGGTGTCAAACTCAAGTCACATGACGTGTCACATGATGTATGACTTTCCCCCCATTGCTGGAGCTGGGGTGGGCGTGGTTTCAGCATGAGGCATCTGGCCCATGGATCGGCAGTTTGACACCTCTGCTTAAGTGAATCACTCCCAGTCATTACACGAGGCATCACATGACTGCAACTTGTGATTTTATTGTCCGCTTCTCCACTGCTTATTGGAAGCTGGCTGTGAAACATGCAAATGGTGATCTTGTTGCTAGGTTGCTGCAATAATTCTCAAGTTGCAAAGTACCTAAGCCTTGACCTTTGACTATGGGGATGCTGTGACAGTTATAGGTGTGAGACTGATTGTAAAGTTACTTTTTCAGTGCCATCTTAACTCTGAATGGTTGCTAAAAAGAACAGTTATTAAGTGAGGTCTACCTGTGTTGACACTTCTGAATGTTAGTGTTGGAGAAGACTTTCTGAGAAATCCTGGACAGTCAAGAAAGAAAACAAATGGATCATTGAACAAATCAACGGATACTTTTCATGCAAATGACCAGGCTGAAATTATCCTACTTCAGACTCTTTATGTGAAGATCTCTCTTTCTGGAAAAGCCTCTAGTGGTGGGACAAATGGAAGAGATCAGGATGACCAGCAGCAAGGTAGATAGACTCAGTTAAGTGACAAGTGCACAGTTGGGAAAATTTGAAGAACAAGTTAATGACATGATCATTGAGAAAGACTGTGTGGTTGCTAAGAGTTAGCAACAACTTGATGATACATTATCACTCTATACATAGTGTAGCAATGAGGCTGCTGGTAATCTGAAAAGCTATTCACAAGACAAACATCTTCCGTGATTATTCAAACCCAATTTTATTTGGGTGGCAGCAGTCATATTCTATGCTGAGCTACGATGCATTTAACTAAGCTAAAATGTTTGACATAGCTAAAATAGCTTAGGACCATACAAACTGCAACCATGTATCATGGTTTATGAAATATGATAGAGTTCAGGTTTCCTCTAAGTCAGTGTAACGTCCACATTAGATCAGAATGTAAAACCTCATAATCATTGATTGCATTTTATTTTGAGTTTGTCTTTCATAATAGATGTTGCAAATGATTTTCAATGTTCGTATTGCATATACTGTATAGGATTCCAACTGTGAGACTTCTCATTTATCTACTGAATAAATTGTACAAATTTGCTTCAAAGAATTTGTTGAAGTATTTTTTCATTTTGATGCAAATAAAACCCTTGGAAGCAAATGAATTAATGCCATAAACACTGCCGTTTTTCTAACAGCAAGTAATTTGTAAGAAAAGTGTATTCAAACTTAAGAATATAGTAGAAATAATTCATACCATATAGCTGTCAGCACCATAAAAGTAAAGATACTACTAAATATCTCGTAATTAATGAGGTGATTATAATAGAAAAATGTGGGAAAAGTGGTATTAAAATTGTTCAGTTGTAGAATATTTTTCCCTTATTAAATAGCAGATTAGATATGACTTTTATTCTAGAAGTAATAGTTTTAATAATTATATTTTGGATTAAAAAAAGAAGCGCAATTTGGAAGTTTGTGGTTTCTTTCTCTGTTATTTTTGTGATGTTGAAACCTGGTCTTTTCCATCTGGTTTTTGCAAAATACTGATTTTTCTGGCGTAAGTATTTTTTCCACATTACCCAATTTACTTTGAGAGGTCTCCCTTTGCTTATTTTCTCCCCTAGGAACTTCTGCTGCTGTTTTAGAGTTTATTAACAAACTGAATTTCGTGTTATGAAGCCAAAAAACGGATGTCTGCCATTGACAAAGTTTTCATTCATGGAAGACAACTGGCTTGCTTGTTCAGCATTTCTCCTGTATAAAATCTCTTATAGAATATTTAAGGACAGTTTTCCAAACTTTCATGTCAGGGCTATTTCAGTGAGATAATGCAAAAACATTAATGAATAAGCTTTTTATTTGTTAGAAAACTCAAAAATAACCACGAGACCCTCTGAGTTTTCCAGAAGTGAGAATGCATTCTTTTTTCTTCTTCTAAGATTATGGCCAGTGTTTTTCACAAACTCCTATACATATATTAATTACCACAAATATTTTAGACCTACTGGCAAGAACAGTAGCACCTATATCAAAGCTTCTGTTCTATAGCTTCTTGTCTTCCACAGGGTTGAAGGTTATAAACAGCAAAATCTTTCTTATTGTATGCATATTTGCCAAAAGATTAGAAACAGATTTATTGTGAAACCTTTCAGAACTAGGCAGTAAAAAATTTCATTAGTTTTTTTCGAATCGCAGCTTTTGTATCATTTTCTAGCATTTTTTTAACCTAGTATTTTAATATCTAAAAAGACATGCTTATTAAGAAAGTAGTTTTTTGAATTAAAAATTATCAATGGACAATTGTCTTAGGTCAGGGGTAGGCAACCTTGGCTCTTTTATGACTCGTGGACTTCAACTCCCAGAATTCCTGAGCCAGCTGGCTCAGGAATTCTGGGAGTTGAAGTCCACGAGTCATAAAAGAGCCAAGATTCCTACCCCTGTCTTAGGTGATATTTAAAACAAGCAGATGGTGAGTAAGATGTAGCTTCTTCAAATGAGCTTCTGTGTATGATTATTATATTATGGTCCCCAAAACATTCTGTGTTTATCTTAGCCATGTTTTCAAAACCAGTGGTTTAAAATAATCAGTGTTTAATATTACTCTAGTGTCCAAGATACAAAAATGCAATTAACGTCTGTATAAAATAGCCATATCTTATTACACATTCATGCTTTAGTGCAATCTATAAAGTAATACAGTAAATAAATGCATGCAGTGAAAATAACCAAATAAAATCAAAATGGTTCCTCAAAATCACTCTATATTTCAAGAAATCTTCACTAATGAAAAAGAGAAATAAACCCCCAAAAATGGAAAACAAGATGTATTTTCAATTCTGCTATACAAAAACATTTCTGTGCAAAAAGAAGAAAATTACGTCAAGTGTCTGAAAGATTGTGTACATAATCCATTCCAAATCTGTTTAAATTTTAAAAACTTCTGAAAAGCTGTAATTTATACAATTTTACAGTGGTTTCAAATGATTCAGATAGAATAGATTATATCTGAATAAATTTCAATAACACAAAGGCCATATTTTCTAGTAAAAATTCTAATTCACATTATTTGATATAACATACAAAAATTATAGGCAATTTCTAGAAAATTATTGTGTACATCTAATGGAATGTAGAATTTCAGGGATAATACTAGAAAAGCTACTGATTTAATTGAAATAATAAATATTACTGGGAAAATTGATTGTCTGTTTATTATAAAATAAGGACTGAAATATTTAATTAAAGGGTTGCATAGCAACAAAAGGATACAAAGTTCTATTGCAACTACAGATATAAAATTAAGAAATATATTTTTCGTTCATTAATGTATGTGGTTTCATGAAGGTTTTTTTTAAAAAATGTCTTCCTGGCTTTATTCTGCTATTAACGTATTCCTTAATACAAAATTATTCATTTTGAGTTTTATACGCGGTTGTAGATTTATCACTAGAGACTGTTTTTTGAAAATAGTTTATCTAACAAGGGTAAAACGGAATGACTAGGTTCACAGATCGTATATCCAAAATTCACAAACCAGTGACTATAAGTTGCTGAGAAAAAAACTCCTCTAAAAACACATTAGCATGGACTAAGCATAATTGAATAAATGTGTGATATTGCATATCCTTTTAATTTAGAAAAAAAATCACAAATCAGATGAAGGTCCTATAAGTATCAAAGCATGGGATAAAAATAATACGTCATTGGCCCGATTTAGCTGTTGTCCTAAGTCATGATTTCATTAATCATGATCTGCTGAAAAAGGTCCAATTTTCTGGACTCACAACCCAATATTAAAAACATGATTTACACAATATAGTACCTGGATTCAAATGCAGCATATAGGTTGTCCTTGGGTTACAACAGCAATGGGGACTGAAATTGCCATTATTAAGTGAGGTGGTCATAAAGCATGATGTCATGTGACTGCATCACTTAGTGACAGTCCAAGCTGCCATTGTTAAGTGAGAATCATGTGGGTCATTAAGTGAGAGCTTCACATGACGGCAACTTCTGACTTCCTGCTGGCTTCCCCACTGACTTTGCTTGCGGGGAAGGTGGCAGGGAATATTGGAAATTTCACTCCTGTGATTGGATGGGTGCTGCAATGGCCAGAACTCCAAGGATTCGTTGTAAGTCCCCTTTGAATGGTTATTGAATGAGTGGTTGTAACTCAAGGACTATTTGAAAGCCCAACCAGACAAACCACATTATGATTTAGTACATTTAAGCTAGTCAGTGTCAGCTTTCGAACACTGCTAGTTTAATTTGCTAAACAAGCTACAGTGATCTAAATCACACACAATGCTAAGCCTTGGCATTTAGAAACCTCAGTGTCTATACCAAAAATAACAAACCCATTATGGTTTATCACAATGTGAACTCTGCCAATGGCTTAGTTCAGACAACACACCAAGTAAGCATGTGAAGTATTTTTGAACTTTAGCTTGTGATTTGTAAATCCTAGCTTATGCCTTAATATTTTGTGTGAAGTCAGGCAACTGTGGCTTAGTCAAGAAACATTCCACTAAACTAGTTTAGTGTACTGTATGAATTCAGCAGTATGCTTGGTTGTAGTCTGGCTCGACTTTTCTCAATCTCAGCAAGTTTTAAGATGTGTCGATATGCTGGCTGGGAAATTCTGAGAGCAGCTGAGGTTGAGAAACTCTGCTCTGAATCAATGGAATATGCATTTGGATACAGCATGAGACCAATAGTGAAATTTTCATCCAACAGAAGTATAATTAATTTTCCTAACATTTCATCACCATGTGTTCCGAATAGTCAGACTGCTGAGACAGAAAACATTTCACTTTAAAAAAAACCATGATTAAATATGTTTCTTAAAAAACATAGAAATACTTTTGCCCTTTACTATTTGTAAAATAATTTTGCAGCCACAGTGTTGAGTATTAGTACATTTTTAAAAATTTGAATGGCACTTCCTGTTAAGAACTTCACAGAAGATACTTATTGCAAACACCTCTTTATACAGCTGGAAAAAAAAATCTCCAATAAAATATTTGAATATAAATCTCTAAAACCCTCTAGTTCATATTGTAAAAAGATCCATTTACAAATGCCTCCCTTATTTATTACATCTCTGCTGAAATCACAGTTTCATTATGCCCATGAATACTAGAATCTAAAGATGGTTGTTTGGAGTCAATTTTGTAGGGTTTTTGAGTTTTGTTTCCAAAAACAGTTATACTAATCCCACTTGGATGATTTGGCACTGACATATGAGACAGCAAGGGAATATTGGCATCCTGATTGGATCCTGAAGAAGGCAAGCTAGTCACATGACCGGTGCTGGTTGATCCACTTGCACTGCTTGGTGAACGACTCTTGGGTGGAGGACAGTGCTGAATGACCCTTGGTGGACCTGCAGGTTGATAGTGGGCAGCTGGAAAAGCAGCATATCCAGGAGGTATCGGATATCCATTAATAGGAATATATCGCTGGTTTTGTGGTATTGGTGGGCCAAGAAATCCAGTTATTTGGCCCTGTGGCATACCTTGTGCTGGAAATATGTAGTTAGGGTACCTGGGATTGCTTAGGTTGCTAACTGGGCTTGCGCTGAGAGATGTAGTTTGAGTGGTAGCATTTCCACCAGAAGGAGTAGTAGAGCTAGTATGACTTGATATCCCTTCCCAAGAGCGCAGTCTAGCATGGATATCTTTGAATTTTGGTCTCCTAGACGGCAGCTCATGCCAGCATTCTGACATCAGGCTGTACATTCTGGGAGGGCAGTCTTCAGAGCATGGTAAAAGCTGTCGTTTCCTGACCATCTCAATGACTTCTTGGTTACTAAATCCATAATAGGGCTGAAGACCAAAACTAAAAATCTCCCACAAGACAATACCAAAGGACCAGATGTCTGAATCGGAGGAGAATTTTCCATATAAAATTGCCTCTGGTGGCATCCAACGAATGGGCAGGAGGGATTTATTTTGAACTCTGTAATAATCGGCTGAATAGATCTCTCTTGACAGTCCCAAATCAGAAATCTTCACATGGAGCTGTTCTCCAATTAAAATATTGCGAGCAGCCAGATCCTTGTGGACAAAAAAATGACTTGACAAGTATTCCATTCCTGCTGCAATCTGGACAGCTATGTGCAGAAAATCAGCATGGTCCAAACTGGATTTTACCGTACCATCCTCATCACTGCTACATCCCACATCTGAATGTGGAGATCGCATAATAAGAAATTCATGGAGGTCTCCTTGGTTCATATATTCAAAAAGCATGCAGACTGGTTGCTCCTGTGTCACAATCCCAAGAAGGCAGACAATGTTTGGGTGATGTAATTCTGCCATCAGCGAGGCTTCTTGCTGGAATTCTGCCCACTGCTGTGGATTATTACAGTCCTTAAGGGTCTTTATTGCAACCAGCTGAGCGTGGTCCATTCCTGGCAAATAAAGATGTCCCTTGTAGATTTTTCCAAAAGCACATTCGCCCAATTCTTCCATAAATCGGACGGCAGAAAGGGGCAGCTCTTTGGCTTTGCTCTGTTAGAAAAAAGAAAACACATGGAAGATAGTTTTGGATCAGATGGTTGGCCCTTGAATGATCTTAGAACTGATAGTGCTGGAAGACATTGGAAAAGTAAACCATGATATTTTTCATGAAAACTTCACAATCTATTATATAAGCCTATCAAATGAAGAAAAGCATTATAATTTGGGCAGGCTTATTTTTCTTAGCTGTGGGGAATGTACAGTTGTTCATCTGTAGCTTGGGTTTCCAATTTGTGTGGATATATGGCGACCTCAAATGCATTTAATACCCTGGGACAACATCTTGTCCCTAGCCACACATAACCCATTCCCAAATATACATTATCTCCTTATCTTAATAGTAAACAAGGTGGACTAGGGGGGTTCTGTTCAAGACATGCTTTGTAGCTTTTTTTCTTTCTACCCCTTCAGCAATAGGACAGAAAAAAAAGAAAGAAAGGACTGGGATGACTGGAACTAATAATAGGATATAATATTTAACAGGCACTGGAAGCACTTCCCCCTCTTTCCCCCGTACCTTACAGGTAGTCATTGACTTACAACCATCATTTAATGACCATTCAAAGTTATTATGGTGCTGAAAAAAGTGACTTATGACTGGTTCTTGCACTTATGACTACTGCAGAGTCTCCGCGGTCACGTGATAAAAATTTGGGTGGAAGGCAACTGGCGTATATTTATGACGGTTGACCTTCCCAGGGGCCTTCCGAGAAGTAAAGTCAATGGAGCAAGCCAGATTTGCTTAATGACCACGGTAATTGGCTTAATGACTGCAGTGATTAGTTTAACAACTGTTGACAAAAAAGGTCATAAAATCAGGCACAACTCACATAATGACCGCATCACTTAGCAATGGAAGTTTGGTCCCAATTTTGGTCATAAAACGAAGACTATCTTTAGTTATCACAAAGTTGCTGGGGAGGTGGAAGTCCCAGCCTTTCCAACAACTTCTTATTGCTGGGAAGAAGGGGGAAAATGGCAAGGCTTCATTTTTCTTAATGACCCTACTTGAAGTCATTGACTTTCTTTTGTGGAAATAAATATTTTGCGGCAGAGACACTAGGAATGCAGAGCTAAATGCTCACATCCCTTAGAAATGTAACTGATCCTTCATTCTCATCTCATTTATAATTCACTAGAAGGAAGGAAGGAAGGAAGGAAGGAAGGAAGGAAGGAAGGAAGGAAGGAAGGAAGGAAGGAAGGAAGGAAGGAAGGAAGGAAGGAAGGATAATTGAAAGTAGGACACATAAAATAAATTGTAATTTTTCTGATCATTTTATGTATTTTAGACAAATACTGTGTGAATTAATATATTGTACGGCATTTGAACAAGCCGTTATCTGACTGCAGGATGGCGGGAAATTAAATGTATTATTGCAAAGCAGATGGTTTATATTATACAAATCCTTTAGGCTAAAACTTGTTTAGGTCTGGCATATTGTAAATTATATTTTAGTAATGAAAGTGAAATGACCTCTGTCTGACCTCAAGCAGGGCTGTCTGTTTTAACCAACTTGGGGGAAAACTGAAAGAAAATGAAGTCATAAAATTTGGCAGAAGGGGGTTCATTTGGAGTTAAGTAGTTATAAATCTGCTTAGCTTTTGTTTGACAGGTATTTGTCACTTGGTGGTGTACAAGATGCATAGAAGTGTAAAAAACAGAGGAGACATTGTGCCAAAGAAAACTAAGTACAAAGGGAGTTTATCACACTCTGTCTTTATCAGTCACTTCTATTACATTAATGACAACAATTGATTCAATTTATGATACCGAGGAGGATAATTACGGGAGAAAAATACTAAACGGGTAGGAAGTACCTGAAATTAGGGATTACTCTCTAATGTGTTGTGCTTAAGATGCCAGCATAACAATAGAACTATGTATGTCTACTCAAGGAAGCTGTTAGGGTTCAAATGGGCTTACTACCTGGGAAAATCAGACAAATCTAAAGTAGAGCTATCAGCCCAGGGCTGCAAAAGTCCACTAAATGCTAGCAGAATTGCTTTCTGTCATTTCTTTGCTGTCCCCAGGTTTTGCAGACCAGATTGGACAGCCCTACCTAATGTTTTTGTATTCAAAATTTGGGGACTTTATTTTCTTTGCTCAGTCATGATCTCTCAAAATGCAGTATTGTTTTATTTCTAAGAAACCTCTGACATCCTATCCAGAGATAAGATAATAATAAGAGTGGTTTCCATAAAATGGTGAAATAGAGCCAGAGAGGAGGCATCATTAGGAAAAGCAGAGCCCCTAAAGAGCATAAAACAAAGGTTTCTCATTTTTATGCATCAGATTTGATTCACAGTACCTTTGGCTTATATGAATTGAGCATAGACATCTCTACATTCTGTCCTCTGACGTGCTTAGGTTGTCTTTGCACGGGTGGAGAAGATGACTTTTGGTTATTCCGGCAAATACAGATGAAGAAAAACAGTAAGGCAATAGCCAGAGGAATTGTAACGCTGGGCACCAATATATAAAGGATTTCCATTTTATTCTTTTCCTTGGAGTCCTTTGGATCTAAATTCAGAGGAAAGAAAAGGAGGTGGTGGGAGAAGGAGAAAACCAGAAGGATAAAAAAAAAATGCAATTATTATAAACAGTGAATTTTTGTATATAAAGATGTATGAAGATGTATCACACATTTTCATGCTTATTTTATTTCCTGACTGAGCAGCAATAGCAGAAAAAACAGCAGAGGTTCTCTCGGTTGTGATCTTTGTGTTATTAAATTTGACCTCGTTTAGATCAATCAATCCAGGGCTATCTACAGATAAATCATAGATTCAACTGGGGAATCTTGGCTTATTCAGCAAAAACCTTCCTTGAAGCAATACACTTCAAGGAGCACCTTTAACATTACTAACAAGCACTGTACTTGTTGTTGCATTTTATGCATCTCTGAAAGATCTGACAAATGCCATTGTTGTGTGTTTCCATAGTAAAGAATTACTAAGTATAAAGTGAGATAAGCTAGACAAAACAATACATATTTTCACAATCTGGGGGTATTTGTTCTGCAATTATCCATATAAGATGTGACAAAAACAAGAATCTTTGGGCATTATATAATAACATTTTTCTATTAATTTTTGTCTAAAGGCCAGTGATAGTATTGCAAAGATATCTTGCTAGAGGAGGAAAAATCAGATTTCTTTGCAGTGTGGGTTTATGTAAGTAACATTACAAAAATGTTCAACCACAATGTCAATGGTGCAATACACAAGTGGCTGTCTATCTGCAAAGCTCTTCCTTGAAGAGTGAGTTTTGCCATTTTTTTTATTATACTGAAAATTTGCCAACAAATATCTTGGCCGAACCAAATTTGGTGGAACGCTTTTTTCAATAGATAGTTATTTTAAGCACCTGAAGGTAACAGGCTCTGTATTACATTATAGCTCTTCAGGCAGAATTTAATTTCTAAAAATCAAATGCAACTTAATCCTCATTTTTTTTTCCTAATTGTATTCTTACATATGGAGCTGCTACCCAAAACCAGTATTTTGGTCTTTTATTTACCCCCCTCCCCCTCATCAATTCTCAAATTCAGATGATTAAGAATCGTTTTATCATGTTCCCTTCCTATATCACTTTTGTTATATTCACATGTATTTTTCTTATTTCTTGCCGTTTCAACTTTATTTATTTAATTTATTTATTTGTATACTGCTTTTATATTTTTATAAATAACTCAAGGTGGTGAACATATCCAATACACCTTCTTTCTCCTATTTTTCCTACAACAATAACCTTGTGAGGTGGGCTGGGGTGGAAGTGACTGGCTCAAAGTCACCCAAGCTGGCTTTTGTGGCTAAGGGGGACTAGAACTCACAGTCTCCAGCTTTCTAGCCTGGTAAGTGTGTCAAACTCGCAAAGTCGCGGCGTATCGTGACTTTTTTCCCATTGCCAGCAATGGGGTGGGCGTGGTTTTGCTATGAGGCATCCGGCCCATGGGCCGGCAGTTTGACACCCCTGCACTAGACCAAATTGAGTTTCCCAGTTACATTGCCTTCCCTGCCTAGAATTGTTTATAAAGAGCTACTCAGACTTCAGGTAGATGCATTCTGAATGCATTAGGGATGTCTATGGGGATTCTCTCAGTCATCCAGGCCATAGTTATCCCAAAGATGCTTTTTCACGAGGCAACTGGACTTTCTTGTTTTTCTCTGAAGACATTTTGCTTCACATCCAAGAGCTGAAGTAGCTGCTTGGATGAGAAGCAAATCATTATCAAAGAAAAACAAGGAAGTCCAGTTACCTCGTGAAAAAGCATCTTTGGGATGCATTAGGGATGTTTTTAGATACCGAAGCATATTATTTTTAAAGTCTTTATGGTTAAAAAAGGAATGGTCTCCAAAACTGGTCCCAGTTTCCACACACTAAGTAAGCAGTGGGGTTTCCCACATGGACAAACTTGCATATACACAAGCTTATTGTATTAGGAACAAAAATGTCTTCATCCAAATTATATGTATTCAAAAATTTAAGAAAAAGGGGGGGGCTCTTTTTAATTTTTGAATAATATAATTTGGATGAGAACACATTTCAGAATTTAAAGACTGGAAATATATAAAGAGCCTTCCATCCCTCTCCATCCTGTAAAGATGACTGTTTCTGAAGATAGATGAACCTATTCTGTTTTTAAAACAGAAGAACTGTGCATTTATTTAATCCATTTCTTAATAATAAAGTCAATGATCTTCTTCACTGTTGATCTTGCAAGAAGTTAACCCTCTGGGGGACTCCTGTTCCTTCTACATTGCTAACAGCTGATCTCTTTCAATATGCAGCACTTTCTTCAGGCAGCCATAATAAATGCTTTAGGGATTTCATACAACAGTCTGAGCATTTGAGTAGTTCAGGCCCTGCTAAAAGCAGCGAGTGGGAGTTTGAGCACTAACATAAGATATTTTGATGTGTAAAGTCAGAAAAACAGGAAAAGAAGATATGAACTCCCAAGAGATCTCAGGAAATGTGAGCTTCCAAGACAAGAAACCACGTGTCAGTGTGATGAAAGACACAAGCAAAAAAGAATCTCACAACTGTTGGATGCATCATTACCAATAAGAATAAGTCAGATATTTGAATTTTGGGCAGTAAAATTCGCATTTCACCTTTTCAGTTCTTTCTAATTTGGCAAATGGAATATGTAAGACGAGGTCTATACCAAAAGCAAGGCAGGATGTTCAAAACCCTTTTTTTATAAAATAAGAATCTTAATGTTTTTAGCAGTGTTTTACTTGCAAGCTTTAATTATTTCTCTTCCTGGATGGTTGAATCACATTTTTCTAACCTGGCTTAAGTTGTTCTACAACTTAAGATTGTATAGCCTATGATTTCATTTTGTCTCATAATCATGATCTGCAAGGAAAAAAAACCTAGTTTCTTAGATCTGTCAAAGCTATTATGAGTTTGCAAAATTATTGATAGGGCAAGATGGCAGTAAAGAATTTATGTCTATGTTGCCATCTAGTGGTCATGTTTAGAAACTGAAGCATGTTATTGGAATCCATGTCATGCTTCACTTGGGGTTTGTAAACTGTGACTAATCACTTATCACAATATATGACCCTATACAATTCTGGCTTATTCAAGAAGCGATTGTTTCAGAAAAGATATCTTACTTCAATGAGTAATCCCATCCCCCCTGTTTTTTTAGAAAAGGTCTGGCCTGTTTAACTTGGCTCAATGGAAATATTTAACGTATACCATTTTTTTTTAATCATCAAACACTCTTCTTCTGAACTAATTAGACAGCTTTTCTGACTCCCTAAAAACATTTTACATTGTTGCTTCTATAGAACTACCAGAAAGCACTTGGGAAGCATTGTTGTCATTTTTCCGAAAATCTTGCTGGCATTTTTCTAACCACTTAATAAGAGATTCTCAATACCATTTCAGACAAAATAATGGCTGTTTAGAGTCATGTTTCACACAATAGTCATTTGTTCAAATAAGCATGCTGAGCCAAAGAATTTTGTTTTGGGGAAAAAGTTTTAGATCTGCACATGCTCCAGATCTGGATTACCGACCCCTGCTGGTTTTCAGAATTTTTCTTCCTGCTGGCCTTTTACCCTCCTGCCAAGTGGGGCCATTAGAAAACACATCCTTTAAATGGCAAGTTGCCCCCAAACAGAAGACCACCAAGAGGCTCAATTTGGTCCATAAACAGGGGCTGTATCCAAACTCTACAGCTGCACTTTCATTCCAAATTAAAATTGTCGGGGTAAGTCAGCTTCTATAAACATGTTGTGATGAATGTGCCACATAGTTTGGCTCTCGAACTGCAGTGGACTGCAAAACACAACAAACAATCTCATTTCATTTTAAAAAAAAAAAGAGTTCATTATATTTACCACAGAGAGGGATGTCACAAAGTTCTGACTTGAGATTTTCGTCTAAGGTGAAGCACCAGGGTGCCTCTTTCTGATTGCCCGGGTTTCGGCAGTAGGAATGGCCTCCATTCAGCTCTGGGTACCTGACAGCAGTGAATGTGTGGGTGTGCGGATACTGGGAGTTCCACGGCTGGCACTGTCGCCCAGATTTGGTTACACTGATGGTCCCCCGATAATCCACTCCTGTGCTGTTGAAACATTTGTGATCTGTAACAGAAAGATCACTTTTCTGTGATGCATTAAAAGAACACTATGCACACATGTCTATGGAGATTCCCAACCATCCAACTCATGGTTGCCTCAAAGGTGTTTTTTCCCCCCCTTTCAAAAAGCAACTGGACTTTCTGAACTTTCTGAAAGACTTTCTTTCTTCAAAATCTTGAAACCAATGCCTTATCTTGGCAGGAGAAATTATGAGACGTAATCTGCTTGATGAAAAATATTGACTGAAATAGTCAGGCTTTGACCTTAACAACTGTGCCCTTGACCCTTTTGAGTTTTAGAGATATCCTACATACAAGGCAACGTAACTCCCACTTACTTTTATTGATTGGATCTGCCATAGGGATGCCAATACGGATACAGTTGATAGCCTCAGGGCTATCAGGCTGGGGAAGATCTTCGCAATTCGGCAGCTTCAACCGCATCAAAATCATAGGATTGGATCTTGCAAATATGTATTCAGTTTGGCAAAGCACATTTTCCAGAATCTCACACTCGTCCCGGCACAGATCTCGTGGTTTTGCAACGGAAGAAGTCTCATCACAATACGGGAATGCATAATGGCACAGAGATGGAATAGCAAACTGTGAACATTTATCCGATAAGTGACTGGACGTTCCAATCATTGTGAAGGCAGCTGTAGCATACAAATACCAAATCAGTTGAGATAGTAGCAAATATATAGTAGAACATATGCATTAACAACTAATTCCAAATAAAAACACGATAGGAAGTATGGATTTTGTAGAAATAAGCATTTTTTAAAAGAAACACCCTTTTTCGCATTCAAAATACTCCGTTAAGTGCAGTTTATATCAGCATCTGCTTTTCTTTCCATTGATTGGACTGTGCTGTCTTGGTCAAAGAGTGATTAAGTATTAAGTAGTCCCCAATATTTATTGTTTGCTAAATATGTGATCTTGCTTTTTTAAAAAAACTAAGTTTATGCAATTGGAGATCGATAAGTAAATAAAATTAAGAATTAAATGTAATCAATTGTGTGTTCTAATCAATTGTGTGTTCTAATGTTTGAAATCAGAATAAAATCATGATAAATGTATTATTTTTTAACATGTTCACTAGAAAAACTAAGGATACAATTAAAATAATATGCAGGGCTGCTTTTTTTACTATCTTTTAAAAGTTTCATTTTCATTACAGCTTTTCAAAATGAGCAATATCTTTTTTCTTCAAAATATAGAATATATTCCATTGAGCATGTAAAATTAACATATAGTACATTAAGGATCTGAAATCCAGAATTGTAGATTATAACAAGGATGATGACTATCTAACTGAGAATAAGAGAAAGCAAAAATTTTACTTACCTGTAATTTGATTTTCTATTTCTCCTTGCATATGCAGAGATTCCATATAAATGGTTCGATTTCCAATAAATCTTGCACATGCAATTCCCCGGTATGGCTGACAAAATCCATCCTCTTCATATTCATCCCTAAAATCAAGCAGGCATAATGTATAACATAGGACTGTGTTGTTAAATGGCCTCTTTAGTATCTATATGGTTATATAAGTGACTGTAGTGAACCATGAACTTTATAATTTTTCCTTCACTGTAACCACATTCCATTTTGTCCAACCAATCTTTTTTAGATATTCTGCTAAATCAAGTTAAGTAATTCCATCTTTTCTCCCAATTTTCTCCAGTGTTTTGATAGCCAAGATGGATAGGTGAGCCGAGCTAGAGTTGCAGTGGCAAAGTTGTAGGCAAGGTTTACAGCATTCCTACATAATGTTACTCGGCTTTATTTGATCTTACCCAATGGTGTTTTGCAACGAAGAATGCGACAGAGAAGCTTTTACAGCTGGGTAGGACTTATGCAATGTAAATAAAAACTGATATTTTAAAGCTGGAATGAGCTACAGTTGCTTTACGAGGACAGGTATCAGGACAAATCTTGGATTATTATATGCATTTAACTCTTTGGCTTATGTGGTGAACCTATAAAGGAGTCTTAAACATGAAACTTTGTATGCGTATTCACTTGGCAGTGATGAAAAGTTACGTTTTCCCCCTTTTTATATACTAAGCAGAGAGAGACCAGCACTAACGCAATCCAAAGCCTATTAATCAGTGCAGTGTCATTTTTATTATCCAGCAGTAGGAGTAATGATTTTCCTACTGCCAATAAATTGGCGAGGGTGTCATTACAATCAGTACATGGACCAAAATGCTTTTGGTTTTTTCCAGTAATTGATCATGTTTGTTTTTATATGGGCTAATACACTGACTAAGAAATAAAAGTCCTGTTTATTTTTTTCTAATAAATCATTAAGATGCACACATTCTCATTTCTAGGTTATCTATTCAATGTTTTAAACTTTTGCTCTTGGAAATAACAATAATACTTTCTAACAATAATACCAAGACACTCCCACTAACACTGACAGGGCAAGCCACTAAAATATAAGCTGAGAACAAACCCCATTCCCTACTAGCACTAATAATATTGCCTAATTTGGTAATGAAACATCTGCAAGAAAACCACCAAGCTCAGAGGGCACCAGGGACCCCGCATAATACTACTTTATTTTAATCTTAATTCCTTAGCCTTGGGAAAATTATATGGCACTGTATTATTGTATTAGTTCAATAATATTGCATTAATAGTAATAATAATACTATTAAATACACCAGTACAATGTGTTCTATTAATAGTAATTATATAACTATTAAACTTGCAGCTGGAAACTGAATCCCCCAAGACAAGAAAGTCAGTGACCCTGAAATCTCATCAATAGCAATATCCCCAGCATTCTGATCATCAAATCCTTCAAGACTGATCGGATCAACTGATTCACAATCTTTCTTACTGCTTGGGAACATGTATCCAATTAAAAGAAAATGCTGCTAGTAAGAAGCCACTAACTTTTTTCAAAATATTAATATATTACGTACCTTCCCACTTCTAGTATAGATGTCAGAGCGGTAGTTGAATCTTAATTCGATCAACTGTGTCTTCTACTAAAGTTCCTCCTAATGCCATGAGTATAAAACAATGCTTATTTTTATACTCATGGCATTGGCAGGGGAAGAAAGTGATGTCACATGCACCCCAATGTTATTGAATAAATTATAAATTGGGGTAATGTGATGACATACCTAACATAATTATGGCTTCTATTTGAAGACTATGATTGTACTAAGCTATTACCTAGCTTGATTTTGGCTCCAAATGTTCTACGATCCTTACCCATTAATACAGTGGTTCTCAACCTTTTTAATGCTGTGACCCCCAACCGGTCGTAAGTCAAGGACTAAACCGGTCGTAAGTCAAGGACTAAACCGGTCGTAAGTCGAGGACTAAACCGGTCGTAAGTCGAGGACTAAACCGGTCGTAAGTCGAGGACTTTCCCTGCCCAGGAGCGCTGTGCATGCGTGGTGCCGCCCCCTGCGCCGGCCGAGGCGTAGCTGGCAAGCGGCAGAGACAGAGCAGGCCGACCAGCCCAAGGGAGGTAAGGCACCCACCGGAAAAGGGGAAAAAAATGGCGGACAGCCTTGCTTGGCGACCCCCGTGAAATGGTCGATCGACCCCAAATGGGGTCGCGACCCATAGGTTGAGAACCGCTGCATTAATAGGTGGCCATTCCTAACCCCAATGACACCAAAATGACAAATTGTAGTGTGATGTCACAGCACAAACTCCAACCTTTCATACTTGCCCTGTGACTTTGCATGCAGATATATAAGGGGAAGAGTTTGCATCCTGATGTACATTTGGTACTTGCTCTTCCCATGGATGCTGATGAACCTACCCATCTTCAGCAACTGAAAACTTAGGCAGCCCCTTACTTTACTTAAAATTAGAACTGGTCTATATAGGCAGTCCTTGACTTAACGACCACAACTGAGCCCACAATTTCTGTTGCTAAGTGAGAGATTTATTGAGTTTTGCCCCATTTTATGACCTTTTTGCCACAGTTGTTAAATAAATCACTGCAGATATTAAGTTAGTAACACAATTGTGAAGTGAATCTGGCTTTCCCATTGCCTTTGCTTGCAAGGAGGTCCCAAAAGGTGATCACATGGACCCAGCAACTGTCATAAATAGGAACCAGTTGTCAAGCAAATGAATTTTGATCATGTGACCATGGGGATGCTGCAACACGTGAATTTTTTTCAGTGCCGTTGCGATTACAAATATTCACTAAATGAATGGTTGTAAGTCAAAGACTACCTGTATTACTTACATGCTATATTAAAGCTAACATAGACAATTCCATGTGAACAACCTGAAGCAGATTAAAACACAGTTCTAATTTAGTGCTATATATGATATGTTAACACAACTGATCACGTTACAGTTCATTACAAGTAAATAACTGAGCACATTTATTCAAAGTTAGAATCTTTAAATGTTTAGTTCAGAATCCTAACATTTCTTACAGGGCTATTTCAGAATAAGGATTTGAGGACAGAGGTCTAATTATGATGACAATTCAGCATTGCAAGTCATTTTAGTGTGTCTATTATATCTAAAATTGGCATAAGAAAGAAAATACACTCTCTGCTATTGAAAACGAGATAGACCGAATGACTGTGTGAACCAATTAAAAATGCATTGACTCTATAATTTGACAATCAAAGTGTCTCATGTATAACCTCATTATCTTTGACAAGTTTAAAACCATATCATTCTTTACAGACAATTAAAAGCTTGCATAACAACTTCACTTCTGAATGCACCAACCAAGTTTATTATATGCCTATAAAGTCTATGGCACCAGTTCTCAAAATGCAGAAGATGGTGTTACATGTATATCAGATAACTAGATATTTACAGAGGAAATGTTAACTGTCAGAATCTAAATGTAATGCTATGAACAATTCTGGAAAATATGTCCTGAGCTGGGGCCAAATCTATCTGAAAATAATCTATTTACATTCTTAACTGCAATGCATTACCATAATTACTAAGGTTATGCAACATTCCAGAAATAATTTTTATTTCACAGTTCAGTTGCAAGTTTTTATATAACTTTTTGGAATCCCTCAAGAGAGATGTTCTTGCCAATGTCTGTCCTATCACTTGTTTGCAACTCTTTAAAACAGTCACATCCTTTCACAGCATTGGCTAGCTGCTCACTACGGGTCTACAACAACTCGCCGTAGACAACTCACCACAGGCAACTTGCTGCAGTCAACTTACCATGGCCAACTTGTCGCGGGACAAGAGTTATACTAATATCGAAGAAATAGTGGAATAGAATCATTTTAAAAATGTGTATCGAAGGAGGGACAAAATGAAATGTAAATGATAAATAATTTTTCAATTATTTTACATAATTAAATTGAATTGTTGAATAGTCCCATGGAGAGTTGTCCCGTGGTAAGCTGGCTGTGGCAAGTTGACTGTAGTGAGTTGGCTGTGGCGAGTTGTCTCATTCTGAACCACTGCTGCTACCGCCAGGTGACTCAAAGAAAAGATGCAGTTGTTTTAAAGAGCTGTAGACAAGGATTACCTACATACATGCTGGAAAGCCTTTAGTTTTACAGAACTGTTTCTAAAACATTGCCCAGCTGTAATAATTACTCCCTTTCAAGAAATCTAGTGCTGCCTGGAAGACAAGGGGGAAAAAACCTGGTTGGATCAACAGCAGCTGTGACTACTTATGAAACAGCATTGGTAATGCTGCTTGGATCTTTCTTGGCAGCTTTCTTACATAATTTTTCAATATGAAGTGCATCTCATATGCTCACAGTTATGAAAAGGACAGGAATCTCCTAGAACTCACATTTTGTTTGACAGACATATTTTAGTTCTTCCTGGAGGATGGCAAAGCCATTCAAACTTAAGGTAAAGAAATATAAACAACTTAAAGATCAGACAATAAGATGCTCAATTATGGCTGTTTTAGTGAACCATATTAAAAACTCCATCTTACATGTTGGTGGTTGCTACATTTTTACCTGGAATTTGGCATCTGGTGCAGAAATGGATTTTCAGAGAATCTCAGCTTTCGTTAAAAACAAAAGAAAAGGAAGCACAGAAAGCAGAAACCACCATCTGGGTAAGAAAGTTAAACCTCAATACTTCAAGATAGCTGGCCCAGATAATATTTAAAGCATGGGGCAGAAACAAGAGAGATTTCTAAAACACAACGCTAAGCTAGATAACTGCAGTTACAAAGAACTTTTGGACAACAAAGCAAAAACTATGCAAATATACGTATTTATTGCATAATTTACTAAAAATATAAATCTGCTTCAGTATATCACTTTAGACTTTTGCTTTTTTTTTACAAACTAAAATTTTCCTTATCCTTTGTCCTTCTCACCTAGGCTGACCAGTTCATCACTTACTATCTAGGTTCTACAATACTCCATTCTTGATGATGGCAATAAGAAATGATACCAGCTTTGAGTATCAATTGATTTCAGAGTGACAGCTTCTTACAATGCAGCTGGATTTAGTATTACTTATCTGGTAATAC